GCGCCGAGAGAAGTTTTATCATCGATGATAAAATATTAATTAATAATAATTAACCCGCGTTACGCCCGTAGTTTTACGCCGTAGTGTTAACACGCTAAATTCCGGTCAGTGGACGACCCGATCTCTCGTAACATTATCCCAGTTACCAGAGAAATCGTCTCTTCGGCGCCTCGATTTGTCTGCATTAGCCGGCTAGAGTCATTCTACCTCAATTAATCGCCAGTTCAAAGCGTGCCGTCGTTTCGTATGTAACACGTACAGCCAGGTGCAACTTTCATTAAACGCTCGTGAAATTATCTTGCATTCGAGATACGCACTAAGCATATACTCGTACCTACCGGCGCGCCGGTCTCCCGCGCGCGCTCCTGTGTTATATCGCTGTGAAATTCAGACTCATTAAACCACCCGTGCTACGCGTATAATTATAATTATACGCCTGCATTATATTTCGCAGCGCATTGACGTTTAATTAATCATACGATAATCATGTACATGATTGATACAATCCGAAATCGCGTTTTAAAGCTGAAACAAAAATGCGTCGGACTACGCGTTTCTCTTCCGTTCAGATTGATTGCTCTGCGAAGCAGAAAGGGAACTCTGAGAATTATAGATTATGGAAAGGGTTGATTAATTTGCGTCCGATCAGTGATCAAAGATGTTAAAAAAAGACACGTATCAAGATTGACACAAGGAAAAACCATGATAAAATTGTAAGAGGGAAAGTATAGGGAGGTTGTAATAAATTAAAGGAGAAGAAGCTTTTTGCGGAAACTCTATATGTTGTAAATTATCACAGTATCAACTTTTAAAGGCATAGTATGAAAGCGATGTTTTCATGTTACATATTTTATTTTTCTTACCTTTACATGCACGCTCTCGTCGCCCTTGTTGCACAATCTCGTGCTGCAGTTTCTAATTACGTGAAGATTTTATATTCTCCAAACTTCTTACAACTTCTGAAGGCGCGCCACAAATTTTCTAGACAATTCGATTATTGCATATTCCGGGAATGACAGTTATTAATAGGTTTAACAACTTTCGCTTTTATACTTCCATTCTAATATGCCGTACAATGCGATTTTGCAAGCCTGGAGTATGCCTTTTATGTCGTGCCGCGCTGTCCAAAGAGATCTCTATTGGATCGTAAGATTCACGGGGCGTGGATAATGTTGTGTGGGATCATCGCGACGTGCAAAAAGTTATTCACGTCGTATGATCCGCGCCGGCTTCACACACGTCCTACAAGAAACCATGATGGGCACCCATGATGGATAAATTATTTTCTTGCGAGCCGTTCCTTTCCCATGCAAGAAAAATTGTGCCTCCTTGAAACTCACATGTAGACTGAAAATGTGTAAAACGCTAAATCGCATAGCAATCGCCTTCCTAACGAGATCATAATTATTAGGTAGACAAAAGTATAATTAAAAGTCGGCAACACTTTGTATTTGTACTTGATTCTGTAGAGCCAAGGAGAAGATAAAGGCAACCCAGGCTTCTGCACTTCTGGACAGACGAGTACAGAAATAGATGACCTTATCAAATTTTTTTCACGTATGGAGATGAAATTCAGCACAGCAAAATTGATAGCTGTCAGAGAAAGGACACGTTGAGCCGAGGTCACTTTAATTCTTGCCTTCGCTTTTTTGAGACGCATTCAATAGGGATTCGAGTTATATATGCACGGCGATTGCCAATGCAGTAACTCATCGTGCGTTTCAATATCGTGCGTTTTCTCTTTTGCTTTTGTAATATGGTGGATATTAATTCTAACAGATGAAAAGAATTACTATTGACGTAATGAATTATGAAATCATAAAGAAAATAACTTTCCGATATTAATGTAATAATAATATTGTTATTCCGTAGAATATAATTGAATTGCCTGGAAAAATTTGTGCCGATTCTTGCTTTGTAATACGGCAGCTATTAATTCTAACAGATGAAGAGAATTATTGACGTAATGAATTATGAAACCGTAAAAGAAAATAACTTTCTGATATTAATGTAATAATAATACTGTTGTTCCTGGAATATAATTGGATGGTCTTGAAAAATATTTATATTGCACCTTGAGAAATTGTTCGCCGAAAAAATGTGCTCAAAAAATTTGAAGAATATGATACGAAACCTTCATATAAGTATAATTAGTAAAATCGACGGAATGGCTTTTTTTCAAGCAGTAATAAGTATTAATTATGGCAATTTAATATTCGGTGGATATACGTGAATGCACGCGCAAAAAAAATGTTCTCTCCCCAGTAGTTTATACAGCTTATGATGCGAAGCTCGGCACTTTGTTGGGCCATCTGGCTCGCGTGTACGTGCGCCCGTATTGGCTCCTACCTCCTTCGAGACGCGGTGTGCAATTATGATCGTGGGCAATTACTATACGTGTCATTTGCGTAGGGTAACGGGTATCGGTAGGAACAAGTAGGTTAGCAAAAAATTAGTAATGGTTAGCCGAGATCTCAGCCGTGTGCATACTTCCACAATGATAATGTGCTTTTATGGTGCAGATCATGCACCTGGTACGACGGGGTCCGGTTTCCCCGTTGGAGCACACGTTCATTAGCAGTCGTGTGTCGAGCGAGCACGTGATGATCTATAATGCTGATCGGACGCGATCGCTCTGCATATGCGCGCATGGAATCGGCCGTGCCGCAGCGAAAATTGTATCAACCTCGGCGAACGTTATGCGAACTGCGTACTTTAATCAATTCACGGTCGTATTGATATTTTCGCGCAAGGCCAACCCTCCGCTCTACGACAAACAGTTTTCGTCAATTTGGAAAAATATAATGACATCTCGCACATGTGGAGTTATTCCAATAAATAACGATAAAGAGCCTCGCCAGCAAATAAGTGTAAAAGTCGCGGTAAAAGAGAACATTCGCGAACGCGATAACCAATATTCTTCAAACGACACGGGTGTTTCATTCGTTACGCTTTAAGCGCAACAAATGATAGTCCGGAGTTTTCACGAGAACGATAACATTAACGGAGAGAGAGAGAGATGGTAATTTTTTGCATGGTATAATTTATTTTATGTACTCGCGTACGAGTTACAGTAAAATTCATAATGCATGATATTGAAACGCATTGCAAGTTATTTTCTCTGTATGATGTTAGAAAGTATTAGATGCTAAATAACGTGAATATATTCATATCTCTATACGATTTTACTAATCGCGCATTGTAAATGTAAATACCGAGGGACGGCAATTACGTAAAGTGCTTTATAGATGAAGAATCATTGTCGGCATTATCCGCGACACTGAATTACCTTGCCACTTTTGCCGCGCGGTGAAAGCTAATTTAACATAATCATTTCCCCTTCCGCCATCTCCTTCACCGTCTATCTCGAGAGGGCTACCTAAATGACATTACATAATTTAGCTTGGAAAAGTATATTAGGTATTATACGCACGCGCACAAGAAGCGGGCAATTCAAAAGACAGCTGGATTATTGCGGAGATCGCATGCCGTCTCTGCTATGCGAAAATTTATACGACGTTATGTCATAGCGAAACGTGACATTTTTTTTTCTTACGTAGATGACGGTTTAGTTTGAATCATTGCGGAAGTGCAGTTTTTATGACTGAGGTTCTACCGTGCACGGCATAAATTTTTTCATTGCAAACATAACGATGACGTGACGATACTGCACCTTGCTGTCATAAATATTACAAAATAGTGCAACAATAAATAATACAGGTAGTAACTTTTTTTGCAAACCGTCAAGCGTACTGATGCACACGGTGGTAGTTGCACGTGCCAAAATGAAATCGATTGTATAGAAACAGCCGACGGAGTTGCACGCATTGCTGAGCAGAATCGAAGTTCGAGCGACTTGTGATTGAGAGAGAATCGCCGAACCATAAAGAGGTCTGTCTCTGTTCCGTGCAAAAATTGTTAACCGCGCTTATTCGGAAAACCGATCGCCGATAAAGGAAAAGGTTAAAGTCTCACGTTTACCGTTTAGTTTTGGAACTGTTAATTCATCATTGTTATTATCACGTTCTTTTGCTTATAACATCGTTATATGAATCAATGTATAAAATTATAAGTGCGTAACTAAAGTTAACTACGAGCACTATTTGCAAAATACGATAACATTTATGGAAACACAATCAGGGTTCAAGAAGTCATTAACTATAACAGACAGCTCTTTTAGTAGGAAGTATCTCGCTTATTAATATGTATATAAAAATATGAAACATGATATAAAGCGTGTACGGTAAAATGTGTACGGTATCAAGGCTCCTGGCCACTCACTGCTATTTCAGATCGTGATGTCGAAAGCGAGAAAATGCATAATTAAAAATTCTTGCAAGGTACTTTAAAATGGAAATATTTTTTAATCAAACAACACTTGCAATCAATAGAACAGACTTGTAAAATATATACCGAAAATACTTGCCTTTTATTTTATTGATAAATATTTTATTTTGTAAGCAAATAGCCTGCATATATCTGAAATTGAATTATGCTGAAAATGAACTATATTCATAATTATGACGACTGTCGAATTAATAATATATAGAAATAAATATGATTTTATTTCTCCCCGAAACAAAAAGAGACATTTTCGGTACATTTTATAAGTCTATTCATACCAATAGAAAATATTGTTTTATTGAAAAACATTTCTCTTTCATTTTAATATACTTTGCAAGAATTTTTTTATTATCTGTTTTCTTGCTTTTGTCATCGCAATCATAAAACAGTAAGTGGAGACTTAAGATGAGTAATATTATTTATAACGGAGAAGCTCGTTTATCTTTCGGATGAGATAACATCAATGTTTGATTATTTCACGACATGCGTTTTATAGCTGTTGTATATCGACGAAATGTATGTGTATATCATTGAATCGTATACTACAGTTTGTCATATCATGTGCAAGATCGTAGAAGCAATCATCTCATTATCGTCAGAATCTCGATCTAGAATGGGATTATATAAATATTTAACGTACTACATTCTATTTTCAGGCTTACGTGGAAAGAGAGAAGGGCAGAGTAGTGCTTTACACGACATCATTGGGCATCGTTAGAGAGACCTTCACCAATTGTATGAAGATGAAGCAGATGCTGTGGACGAACATGGTCAAGTACGACGAAGCAGATTTATTCCGCGATACAGAACTACAGACCGAACTGAAGGATCGGACCGATTCGGAAATCGTAACGTTGCCGCAGCTCTTTGTCGATGGTCAATACATTGGGGTATGTATGCTCTTTTAATTCAAAATTATTGAAAAATACGAGAGAAGAAAGCAAAGAAAGAAAATTACGAAAAATAATAAAAACCATGTTTTAATATGAAAATATTTTCTAAATAATTATCACGACGAGCCTCATTTAAATAACAATTTAAGTTGAACTAGAGGTAAAGGCTAGAAATTAATTTTAATTATATTTATTAATTAAAAAAGTATTTATTAGAGTGGAAATTAAATATGGAAAATATTATCGAAAGTTTATAAATAATTTGACAAATTTATTACATAAAGTAATGTACGTGTTTATTAAATATAAATATATAGATTTGTAGCCTCGGATATTTTTTATGAATTTATTTGAAAACTTGTATTTATATAAATCATAATTAGAATTACATTAATGCGCATTATATCAGCATAAACTTATTATTGATTGTATTCTTGCGAAATGCGCGATTTAAATAACAAAATTAGATTCTGCAGTCAATTAAAAAAAAATATATTTGAAATGTAAACACTTTATACAAAAGGTTATATAATAAAACGTGAGCAGCTGGCGTTGAACGGTCCGTCATCTACGTTTGACATTCGTCAACCAAGTTATTTTCTTCTTAGTGGCGGTATCGATCTCTCTCCCTCTCTCTTTCTCACAGCCCTTTCACAGATGGAATAACTTCTAATAAGAAAAGTTATATTGCGCACAACTAGCATTCGAGTACTCTACGATCCTTTCGAATCCATCCTCTTATGCTTCATGAAGAATTTGTACAAGGACGATGACGTGCGTTATGCAACTATAGGGATATTCGACATCGAGAGAGCCGGGAGATGGATGACGTGAAATGTCAAAGATAACTGTCGAGCGAAAATTCGTTGAATGTATGAAAATTTGATATCAAATTACATCTGTTCCGTAAATACGATATAAAGAAAGCGCCAATGAAGGGCTTAAATTCGTCACATAATAAAAAATCATTATTTTCGTATTTTAGCTTAGCCGTTGAGCGAACTTATTATGAATTGATTGATATTTTCGTATTTTCGATTAAATGAAGCACGTAAAATGCAACGATTAGCTACTATATGCGAAATAACAAAATAATTGAATACGAGGATAGGTGAATGTGAAATATTTTTATTTTAAAGAAATCCTATCGTAGAATCCTATCGTTGGAATTATACTCTCGCATACAATGGCAAAATGCGATAGCGAAGATCGCAAAGTATTCTGTTTCAGCATACAGTTCTCAGGTGTAGAGTGTCGTATTTCGCAGATCTTCTTACGTTGCATCTCCTGTGAAATTGTTATTGAAACATGAAGGAACATGAAGAAACAGGAAAGCAGGAGACGATAGCAAAAAGTTATTTAACATATGAAATAAAGAATCTCTTACATAACGCACTGCTGCCTTGTCAAAAATACAAATTTTCACAATTTTTATATATCAATCGCCGATATAGTTTTTCGATTTTAATGAATATTTATTTTCAAGAGAAATATACGATTTGCATAACCAGATTATGATTTTTGCAATGGTTATCTAATTGGATACCGAGTCCACAACGGGGAGATTATTTAATCGAGAATAAGCTATTAGGAATTAGTGACAACAAACAATGATTACCGCAGTGGTCACTTAAATGTTACAGCACTTGGGAATGGCCACAGTAAACGGACGTATGTATGTGCTCTCCATTGTACATAGTTCGTAATTACTCTCATTCACGATGGAGGTAATACAAGTTCGTATCATCGTGTGCGGCGCGAGATACCTTTGTATATACTATATACCTTCATGAAAGAGCATGTCGCTTTTATTGCGATGCGGTAAAGATCTTCGTGAGCTTCAGCTATATTCAAGCACTTTTCCCAAGGTTGATGATGACAGCGATATACCTTGATGAAGTTATGAATATCCCTCACGTATGTGTACACGATAAAAATTAATTGGGAATATTTCTAGTATGGTTTTAGGACACGCTACCTCGAACGAGAACTAGTGTTGCTGAAGTATCTAAAAAATTTAGCTGGATGTCAGATCTGAGATGTAATTTTGTTGGACCATCAAAGCAATTATGCAAGATGCTCAGGCTGATTGCTAGAATGTCAAAGTCTTTCACAATATTGCTTATTATACATCTTACATAATTATTTTGAGTCCAACAAAATTGTTTTCAGACCTGTACCTAGCTAAATTTTTATTTTTTTCAGCAGAATCGTTCTTTCCGTGTAAATGTATAAATAACTGAATTTTTTGCGTAGGAGTTTGTTTTCATGACAAAAACTTAAAACTGCGAATTATTTAATATGAAGAATTAAACGGAGAATTTTTGCGCATAAAAATTTATTCACTGAATGATATTTGATTATAATATTATTAAAATAAATTTAGCTTTCCTAATTAGAGGTATTACAAAAATAAATTTAGCTTTCCTAATTAGAGGTATTACAAAAATAAATTTTTCAATTAGAAGTATTATTAAAATAAATTAAGCTTTCTTAATTAGAAGTACATATTTGTTTTTTAAGGTATAAATATATGAATGTTAAACACTCACATTAATTGGCTCCTTCAGGAATTTTTCTCAAAAACTCAATATGTCAATCTTTTTGTAATAAAAAAAAGCATCAGATAAACATGCATGCCTTCAGCTTCAAGAGTCTCACACATACACATACACGCACACACATCATACTTTTATTTGATTTTCTTTCTCCGTCTCCGTCGCGGTATCCGTTTCTCAAGAGAGTTACTTCCAGCAACCGATAGTCGGGAGAACAGATATATGCGTGAGTGAAATGTCAAGCTATTTGATCCAAGGCCGTCGGAGAGAACGCGCGAGGTACGATTGCCTGCGTTACACCGACTCACGGTTGCCTGGTGTCTAGGCACACAAGTGTACATACATAAAGCTACCCGAACTGCATTCCTATCCGGCCGCGTCATGCAAGTATGTATATTTCGCGCAAAATAGTCGATTGGTGCCGAAATTTCGACATCTTCGAAATATTCCTCTCCAGCTGTTTGTCAATTCGTATATACGCTCTCCCGCTTTCACCACGTTGTCCATCCTCGTGCGACGTATCTTTTGACAGTTTACATGGTACATGTAGTGAAAGGAGTACGTCGTCGTAACTATACAATCGCAATAAAACCCCTATTACGTTACATCAGACACATGCAGAGATTACAAGATGTGCACCAAACGAACGGGCACTTAAGTACGGAATATTCGCGTTTATTTCATTCACTTGCATTCACGTGGCAAATGAATGTAGCGCGTCGTGCATCGAAAATTTTTCACTTAAAATATAACGCCGTGATACAATTAACCCGTTTCTAGCCGCTGTTCAACGGTTCGAGAGATAATCTTTCGGGAACGAATTAAGAGCGAAATTTCCATCTTGAATAAATCAGCGGCGCGTCAAACCTGCAAACTAGTTATCGCGTGCTTCATTAAAAGTCTCATTAACAGCGGCATGAAAATGTATGATACGACCATTACCGCGCGCGCGTGGATGCGCGCGTACAGCCCCCCTCGCGTGTACGCGCGCGAGGCAGAGACCCGGGGAGGAAGGAACGCCGATAAAATTCTTCCGTTACAGCCGCATTCCACAGTCCGAGAGGTGTGCGTGTGTCACATCGCCCCGTGCCTCACGAAACGCGCGTTCGATTTTCCGTCTGCAGTTTCTTCGACAAGGAAGAAACTTTTGACGCGCGCACGCGACGCATACCGGGGGAATTTCTGTTTACGGGCACGGCCCGATGGTAGTTAGTTAACGATGGACGAAATGAACGAGGCGGAAAGAAAGCGCTCGAACGGTTTAAATGTCGTGCTATTAAATGCCTCCTGCCCGTTTCACAATTTTTTTCTCTCTTTTCCTCGTTGCAGGGTGTCGACACCGTCGAACGGCTTAACGAGTCGGGGGAACTGCGCCGCATACTGGAGCCTTACCAGGTAAGCTGATTTTGTCACCGGGCGCGGCGGAGGATCACGGCGCATATCCGCAATATATCCTCTCTCTCGTCGCCCCGAGGTGCACCTCGACACGGATGTGCCATTCGCCCGAACCGTGGAATTAGTAATTTATCTCGTCGGGGATTTACCGATTGACATTAACTTACATGCTAAGTGCACTTCTTCGCGTACACGCGCGTTGCGGCGGCAATTCAAATTTGTCGCGTGTATAATACCCCGCGCGAATACAAAGCAAATATAAACGCCGGACGCTAATTTCAATATAGCCAGAAGTCCGTGACGCATTAGTTAATAAACTCGCGTAACGTTTCGTAAGCGTGGCGCATTTCATGGGTAAAGCCACTCGGAGCGGAGAAACGCCGTGCATAACTTCCGCTTTGCATTTTAAATTAGATTGCTCATTGAATTTTTCAGCTTCTGACGTCAAATGTAGGTAATACCGTCGAGGTCTAATTATACATCTTCGTGTAACAATCCCGTATAGACTCGAATTGAGTTACATCAGCGTCGCATTGAGAAAAAGAAGCATTCCGTAATTTTATAAAGGGACTTGTGTAACAAGGTGTATTTTTAGACGGTTGATTCGAAGCTTCCGAGCAAGCGAACTAACAATAGCCGCGGTATTCAGAATGGGGAAATGGAAAAGACACCTTTATTGTCTCTAAGCCAGGATTTACGCGCGCTATCATCGCGAGATTCGAGCGATTCGCATGATCGCGTTATACGCCCGCGACTGCGTTTACCGCCACGCAGAATCAGCTATCTAAGGTAGGCATAACAGCGGAGACTGTGATGAAACGCATATACAAACAACGCAAGTAGCTGTGAATGCAAGGTTGTACACGATCCTTTCACTTTTATCTCTCGGAATGCCTCTCTCTCTCTCTCTCTCTCTCTCTCTCTCTCTCTCTCTCTCTCTCCGTCTAACCGCCCACCTCCTTCTCCATCGTGATCATAAATTTTGTCGTGCGATTCAGGTTTACCTTGCTGCAGCTAAAGGTCGTTTACATCTATGCGGCCATTGTTATTTCTGTGCCGCATACCAATCTTGTATCTTGCATATACAACTCTTCGATTTTACATCTATATATAATTCTTTTTTGGTTCTTGGTGTCCAAAAATATATGTATTAGAACTACATATTACAGTAAGAGACATAAAAGACGATTTTTTTAGGTGAAAAAATATATATTACCAATTACCGGTTCATTATTGCATTACATGACGAGCGTTTCGACCCCAAAGAGACAGAAATCCGTCTTGTAATACTGCATTGGACCAGTGATTGTTAATATACATTTTTAGGCACCGACAACCGCTCTGACTCTCACTATAGTCTTATTTTATTTTGTATTATATAAAGTTAAATATTGCTTTCCATCTAAAGAGATTCTGATATGGCAACATGTTATTTTTGTCAATCATAACTTTCTTCAAATTAATCTCTTATTAAATCGAGGCATATATGATTTAACGGGTGGATTTGAACCCGGGTTCTACAGAGTATGAATCTAATTCTTACACAGAACCACTCGTCATCCATGACCTTACTTTGTATTTAAGTTTTAAATTCGAGAGTTCTTTATTATTAATATTTAAAATTCTTTTACTTACATAATTTATTTAATTTGATTGATACAAATAAATTTTTCGTATAATATTACAATGAAATCATAAAAGATTTAAAATGAATTCGGATATGTATGTATCTCGAAAATTAATGGAGCGTAATATTTTCAGATATGCAAAGTTTAAGAATACGATGCAGCTTTCTTAATTTTTACTGAAGTACAATTTATATAATATGCACTAAGCAAGTAAAAAGATTAATGATACGTTATCGACTTATATAGCGTATTAGAGTTTTATTTTTGTGCCCGTCGATCTCAAATACTGCGCTTGGCGGAATATTTAGATGTAAACAAGTTTGCTATTTACCCAGGAGGTGGTCATTATTCCACCCGAACTCGTTACGTACTTCACAAAGTCGATTTACATTTCAGGTATTAGACTCGCAGTTAGTAACAAGTAAAAGTGAAAGTGAAAACTGCAGTTTCGTAACGTCGAATAAGGTTCGACGGAAGGTACTGTTCGAACATCATTGTCACGCGGAATTTATCCAATTTATTGCCAAATAAATGTGCCACAAACCATATCAGTATTTCTGTGTATGTAAATTTAATGTTCACCTGACAGAGGACTATAAAGAAATATAATGGAGAAATCAAATCTTAAGACATCGAATAGAAAGTAATCTGTAGAAAGTATATTGTTGTTTTATTTTTTATATTGTCTATTACTTATTATGATTATATGCTTGTTATAGTTTAAAATAAAAGCAACACTTTTTATGGGTAGCAATTACGATTCGGATCTCATTTCCTCGGGAATAAAGTTCTCTTGCCGCGCAGCGGGAGCATATTTCAAATTAGTCGAGGATACTTTTAATTAAGTCGTTTTTATTACAAGCTTAAGCCACTTCCAATTTATGTGATCGGATTTATGTCGGATTGATAAAAGTCGACGCAATTTGCGATCATGCGTGCAAAGGAAGGTACGGTAGCAGCTCGGCTTTCTATCGAATCAGATCACGGTCACCATTTACTGGGATATTTTTCATACGAGCACAAACAGACGAATGCGCGCGGGCGTATATATGATACTCTAGCTATTTGCCGATGAAAAATGTCCTCGCAAACGATCGCGCCGCGTGCCGCTTCAATAGACGTCACCGCGCTGAAATCCGCCAACTATGCCGCAACGAGCAATTAATTACCATTAATGTTGTAATGCGCTTAATTTAATATGACGAAACGTTTGCGTTTTCAGTGCAAGGATGCATGCGCCGTTTGTCCCTTCTGCGGCGGATTCCAGCGGCTGCTCTGCCCCATCTGTCACGGCAGCAAGAGATCCGTGCACCGTAACGAGTTCACCGTGGAATTCGTCGCCCTAAAGTGCGCCAAGTGCGACGTTTTCGGTATGATACGTTGCCCGCACTGCTGAAAGGAATCTCTCGACGGGGGAGAATCCCACACGTACACATCTGCTCAAATCATTTCTCTTAATCTTAACGACCATCTTACTAACTTATATCTCTATTTAAGGTGCTACGAGAAGTATATTTTATGCTATGCTTTAAGCAAAGGATATACACGAAAACGCATACAGACACTAACTAATCGCGTAGCCGCGCTGTCGCGTAGTCGCGTGTTGTAAGATATCGGTTAATAAAACTTTGTGTAAAGTTTTGTAATTTTGTGTCACTCATTGGAGACCCCCTTAAACTCCGAAAGAGTCCGAATTGTCCTAAAAATTCCTCCGTATATGTTGCCATTCTCCTGGAAATAAAATTGCGCCTACAATTTCCCCCGCCTTTATTTTGCGTCGTTTGTTCGCAGGATTAATCGTCCTGCATCCGAGCTGTTGTCATATAGTAAAATCAGAGCAGGCCGATTGAGATCTAGAATAGCGAACGTACTTTCACTTTGTCCGTGATCTAATTAAAAAGGCACAAAACACAGCGGCGCGTCGTGCTGTTTCCTCCACACTTGACGCTGTGATTATTAATTATAGCACGAAAGGAAACGTTTCTTAGTAATGGAGAATTTAATTACATGTTTTCCTTAAAATACTTATTTCCTCACGCTTAGAAATTAATAACAGTGGAATTAATGATAGATATCAGTGATCGAATTTTAAGATTTTAATTTGCTTCCGTAAATCGTTGTTATTCTTTCCAAACAATTTTCACTTTGAAGATGTTGCTTTTTACGCGCACAGGAACTTCGATCTATTAGGATCGGATTTTAAGAGAAGATAACAGGCCTTATTTTATTATTAAAGGTTTTCTTTATTGCGTAACATAGATGTGCACACTTACAGTTTCAGCGTATGAAAAAGTGAGAAAGAGAAGAATGCAAAAAAGGAAAAACGAGTTGTGCCTTTCTTCTAGGAATTTTTTAATACTTGAACGCAATTGGGCGAATATGCAAACAAAATGATCACAGCGCAGTGACTTATTGATCATAAACAATATAAAATGCATAGCAATAACAATAGATAACAAGATCAATAAAACCTTAATATTCAATAGACTTCAATACTTGAAGAGAGGCAATTGATCCTTTATAGACGAAGAAATACCATTCAAATAGTAACTCTAAAAATCATTATTATTCAAATAGGATTATTCAAATAGGATTATTCAAATAGTAATTCAAAAAATATTTGTCGAAAGTTTTATCAAAAAAGTTTGATCAAAAAGTTGTTCATTAGAAAGTTTCATGAATCGAGGGGTTTTTATGTCCACATTAAAAATTTAAAAAAATTCATAGTCTAATAAATATTTCAAGTTACTAGTTTATCACACTTTACGTGGGCCACCCTGTACTTCCAGATCAGATGCTGAGTCAGATAATACTGTACTTTAAAACAATATATCTTTGTGATTTGTTTGAGTAAAAACGCGTAGAAAGAAAGAAGAATGTAAGATTGAGAGATATCAGAAAGCGCGCTTGCACGACGGTAATGCACTTGTATAGTATGCCACATTTTGTTCCGTCAAGCGTGCAGAGAAAAGTGTTCTCACTGTTTTGAGTGGAAAGAATCAATCGGAACGGGCGACTTTATGCTCTATCGCATTTAATTATCTACAGCCCAATTACACGGTAAAGTAAGCCAAGATGCTTCGTACAAGTAGAGCACGGCGAATTGCTGTGAAAATTCGATATAATCGCCGCTCGTATTCATTCACAAATATTCAGTGGCTGGCGTTAATACGGTAATTACGCGGCGGCATTAAGTAAAAGCAGCCGATTTATAGCGGCTCGCACACAATATCATTTACGTCTTATACGTATTTTCGACTTCCCGACGTCGAAATCGAAATCCCTACAGCACGACTGTATAATTTATTTTTCATTTGCGCTATTAAAATGCAGTTATGTCAGTCTATATAGTACACTTATTCTACTTTCCCCGCGGAGGTACACGCTTATTATACGCAGTTTCAATTTCTCGATAACACGCCGTCTCGTAATTTAACGTGAACCACGTTAAAAGCGGCCAAACATGACATCGGATTGGTTAACTTTATTTATACGTGCAACAAGTACTAAATCGATACTGCCATTCCAGAGGATATTTACACAACAAGAAAGCGACTGGGTTCGGATCTCATCTCAAGTTAATTAAATGAAAGGTAATTTGTTTAAAATACCATAAAAATGAGTTTTGAATTTTATAACATTAATTTTTTTTACCCTGGCTAAGGTAATATTTTTTACAATAAGTTCTTTGCGGTATTTTAAGATGCTTATAAGCGACTTATTAAAAATTGAGATCAGCTGTGATCTCGCTATTCCAGATTCAGTTAATAATTGCGTTGCAAGTCTGATATTGATTCAGCGCGCAGTTTAAATGGCTGAATAATGGATTTAAGAAAATTCATATAGAAGTTATTAGGTACAAGATCCAGCCGTAGCTGTAGAAGACGTTTTCAAATTTATTCGTGTTTTACGCGGTCTAGTTCAAATTATATTGATTAATTTTTGTCTCTCTTCTATTAACTATTTAAAATAATTTAAGATGTTAACTTTTATTCATTTTTTTTACTCGTTAAGCTCAATACCTCTTTTTTTTTCCAAACGGTCATGTCTTATCACAATAATAAATTTACTCGCTTGACATAGTCGATTTAGGTATTAAAAATTTAAAGGAGGTTTGTATCTACATATTTCATCCGAACGTTATTCCTTATGTGTACGTACTCTAAAGAGACTGTGTAGTGGAAGTAAGTATACGAGGCAATTTAAATCGATCGCCTTGTCCCCTAGTCGTGTAGGGGAATTTTATACATATTCAGAAATTGATGAGCATGGATGCATCATGTCGTGCGGTGGATATAAAAATAAGGGTACATAAAAGTTTCAAAATTTATCCTGCTTACAGTAGGATTAAGGTATCTCTTAGGTATTATATAGTTTAAGTCCTTTCGCGCGTCACGCTGAGTAAGATATAATCAACCGTTGTTTCAATACAGACGATCGCAAACGGCAATTAGTAAATTCTTGCGCAGTGCAGTATGAAAAAAAATTGATATTTTTATAATAAAATTTTCAACGCTGGATTTTAAAAGTTTATTTTTTCCTACGCTATTAAAACACGTTAAAATACATTTATTACAATTTCATGTTATTATAACGTTTGATAAAACGTTCTTTGAATTCATTTCCATATATATTAGCCGTATACTGTAATAAAATCCGTGTATTAGTTATTGTAACAGAATACGGGTGGTTACGTCAATTACTGATGTTATGATAAATCTATAATAACTTTATTACAGTAACATGATATCTTAATATTACTGCATATAAATCGCCCGCGTGCCACGTTATAGAATGATTTATATGTTACAAGGATGTATTGCGAAATAGATAATCATGGATGCTAACATCGTCAGAAGACTATAGAACTGAGTTCTTTTCGAGGGACGAGAGTGGAATTAAAGATTGTCAGATAAATATATGCGGTGCAATTTGCCAAGTCCTTGAAATCGGTGCATGCTCATTCAGCGTGGGATAATCGAGAGCCGCGACTTGAACTGGAATCCGCAATAACAGAAGCGGGACACCAGCGTGCAAGAGAAAAAAAAAAGCGGTGGAGTGAAAATGATAGTTGGCAACGTTAGCGTCGAGTGCAACAAGTTTTCACGTTGAAGTGCAATACATCCAGCACGTGCGACTCCTCTACGCAAGGTCTTTATATAACTTCGTAGTAGAAATGCCAATATGTTTATCGTGTTCTATTAGCGGCGGAGAAGAATTTGAAGAGGGTTAAAAGCTGCGTACAAGCGTGAACGCGGAAGTGTAATCGACCTAAAAGCATGGGATAGTCCTCTCTTTTCTCCACGCCATCATGAGCACAATACAAAGTCGATAACGTTCTTGATAATAATTGCGTGCGATCGTACTGTTGGTAGCCCAATTAGACTCGATTGGTCCTTAAGAATATTAAATATTTACCACTGTTTGAAATTGTCAATAAGTTTCTTATTACGCAAATTTAATATTTGCAGAATAATCACATTTATATTGTATTATTGCACATCGATATTAATATTAATAATAATATAATTTATGGATATTTTAATACAATACAAAATATTAAATTCGCTGTTTTAACGTAATAGCCGGATAAGGATACATTATTTGCATATATTGTATATTTGTGTTAAATTAGTTGGAATTTGTGTATTTTCTTTTTGTTTATTAGCATAGATCTACATATTTAACTGATTGAATTTACATATTTAACAAATATCACTTAAATTATATGTTTGACTGTTGTTTACATACGTTGCATAATTTAATACGGACGCGAATATTTACAAGTTTAACGCATAAAACGCGACGATACGTTAGCTTTAAGACTCCGATCTGTTCCATCGTAAAAATCGACAATTTATTCGAGCATAACAACGCGAGCTCTTCTCGCGCTCCTCTCGTGCAAGTGCACGTGCAACGCGAGATATCTACGTGAATACGATTCCGTTTGTGTGTTACTATGGCTTAGAAGGGGCGGTTCGGAGGGGGCAAGAAGCCTTTAGCCGCGATCACAGGCGGTGAAGACTCAATAAAGCGGAAGAGAGCCCGATGACGCAGGTGTCGCACACTTGCAAACGAAGGTACGGAGTTCGCGGATGGCGACGAAGAGTGTCGGGAACGTTAAGGTGGATGCTGGATTACTTGAGGACGCCGTGGCGTAGATAATGGGAGAGCCGGGATTCAGAGATCACTAGCGCGGGAGCATTGCGAAGGGTGCGATTTAACGATCGCCCCTTGCGTGCACACCGTTCGTGGGAGAGTTTCAAGGGCAAACACGTGTTGCGAGCGCTTCGACGTAGATTTTCGGCGGATGTGTATACGTAGGGATATTCACTATGTTTGCAACAACGCTATACGCGATGCGCATTTTGCAGAGTTTATGAAAAAAAAAGAGAGCTCGAGGTCATGGTAAACAGCACGAACTGTTCTCTGTTTATTCAAAGAGTATCAAAACGCAGATGTTTTATTGTAAATGACATGAAAAACGGCAAAGAGAACATTTTAGGGTAGAAAAAGATTTGAAAGATTTTCTACAACATTATACTATATTACTTTGCCACTACCTTGTCTAGAATTTAAATAAATATATGAGCTTTATTTCTTTACTTTTATATAAAATTTTCTCTCTCTTTCTCTCTCTCTCTCTCTCTCTCTCTCTTTCTCCTCCGCTTTGTCTTTTTCTCTCTTTCTGTCTCTCTAGATTTTTAATGTATAAATTAAATTTATAATATAATATGCTTTAACAAGAATAATTGCAAGTCAGTGATAATATCAGGATGTAACAAAATGTGCAAATTAACAAGCTAAAATAAAACGTAGACCGTGAACTGGGAGGGACAGGAAATTGGAGAAGAAACAAGAGTAAAAGAGAGAGGCGGGAAGAGCGCGTGATGACGGAGCGTAAGAGGGAAGTGTTATCCGGCACGAGTAACCAGCGGGGAGACCTTCACCGAGACCGAGGAAGGTCGACATTGCCCCTGTGCCGTGTGCTCGTAGCACCCCGCCCCATAGTAGCGGCAGGCAGGAGCGAGCACCCTGGATAGTATCAGCCGTCACGAGCAATAGCGGCGGCGGCGGCGGCAACAGCAACAGCAACAGGGAGTGGGTAGCAGCAACCCCTGCCGTCGTATCGCTACGGTATAAAGAGAACACCGTCGCCGCCGCCGCCACCACCAGCATCACCACTACTATCATCCACCACCACCACCACCACAATCTCTCTCCTGCTTACTGCGCTCACCCTGGCCTAGAGAGAAGATAGCCTTGCTCCTGTGTGTGACGACTTGACGGGGGTGAGAAGCGACCGTGGCAACGGGGGATGCACGAGGGTCAAGAAGGGCGAGGCGAGGGAGGTTCGGCGAAAGGGGGGGATGTGGACGCAGGCGCGAACGCAGACGCAATAGGCGGATGAAACGGCGCCGAGCATTCCGGCGACGCCAGACAACGCGGCACAATCGAGACGAGATAATCGCTCGTGGGACGGAGCTTTAAACTATCCCCGTGACCGTCCACCTACACAGTCGGTCCGCAGCCACCGAACGTGCAGCCGAGGATGGGGGTTATGAAGACGGCGTCGGAGAGTATCCTCGAGGAGACCGTGGTGCCGAGCGAGGAAGCGAATTACTCGCAGCAGGGTTACGCCGGTAAGCGAGTGAATGCCCTTTTTTTCGTAATTTTACGGCCGAAACGAGGGAGGGAGAGAGGGAGTGCTCGCGAGTCTGTAAGCCGAACGGAATTCGACGGAGCGCAAGGAGAGGCGAGAGCGCACCCCTTGTTGGTATCAGAGGTGCCGCGATCAAGGTCGTCCCGTCCGACGCTCGCTCGTTCCTTCGCTCGGCTTCAGACCGGCTTCGGCGCAGGAATTCCTACCGCTCGCGACGCCCGTAGCTTTTAAAGGCGATGTGGCGAGCCGCCCACCCGAGAGCGACTGCTAACAGGTGTTTGGAGATACAGATATACCGCCCGCGGTGTTTTCTCTCTCTCTCTCTCGCTCTCTCTCGGTGTACCAGCACCGCCAGGGAAATCTAATCTTTGCGGTTGTAACGTCGGATCAGCCGCAGCACCAGCTTGAATTTGCGATTTGTGCGTGACTCTAAATGCCAGCAACATCGTTCGATCGCGAATTCTTCCGTCGACGGATCGGTTGGTCCACTAATTAACAGGAATGGAATTAAATTGGTCCACGTCGCTCCAGCTGTGACACAACGATATCGTAAAAAAAAAGCATTTTAAATTTAATGTTAAATTGAACTGTTATACTGAGCTGTACTGACAGGTAGATGAAATACTAATTAAACGTCGAAGATTGTCAGGGACAGAGATTGATTTTGAAATTTGACGTTGGGTCTGCGGTTAACCAACTGCATCGAGCTCTGGTAGATTGCAGTGCATACCGATCGAACCGCGTGTAACGCGTGTATTGACCTTTCAGCGTGTGTCAAAATTAAAGCGATATGCGCGCGATGTTCCGATTAACATCGTCGTCGTCGCGTTGCTAATAATCGCGACTCGAATATATGCGCATGCATACATATACCGTTTTTAGTACGAAAAAGGCGAGGCTTTAACACTATTTATACTTGTAAGAATCGATAAGTGCCGCGATAAAGTTTTACAAAGAACAAGGCGGCTTCGCCATCCTACGTTTCTCCGCTCTGTGACAGCGGAAATTAGCAGGTGGGATAGATACAACATTGCCTGTCGATCATTTGCGTAGGGAAACGTCTGATCCAGATCTACTCTTTCAATGCGGATATTGCATTGTATTGATTAAAACCGGGTTACAAGTAAACCGACCCAATTTCTGGCCGGTAGGCGCAAGTTTCGAATCGATTAGGGCCGCGGGAATTAAAGCTACGTAGGGAAACATTTGCAAGCTAATTGGCCGCATTACCTTAATTTTCGAGTTTACTTTTATATGTGACACGCCTAAGGCCTAATTTACATTCATCCTGCTGACTTTTTCCGTTTATATTCACAATCGAGTTATTCATAAAATCGCACGGTCTCGATGAGAAGAAGTATTTTCATGTATTTTTCTTTTAAATCATAATAAAATTAGAATGCAAGAAGGCACAAGGCAACTTTATTTTATTGACGTATCCTCCTTGCGTAAAAAAATATTCTATATTAACTCGAAGGTAAATTGTATTTCGCCGCGGAAAATATTTAAATCGCATATTGTCCATGCAAATATAATCTAGGAAAAACACTTTGAGAATATATCAAGCGTGCGTACGAGTGAAAAATACAAAATAATTGTGAGAGAATCTTCGTCCTTGGCCTCATAACAACCAAGCGGCTCAATAGGATACTCGCGATCTTTCCCAGAAGAAGCCGCCACATTTAGGCATGCGCTTCCATGAAGAGCCGTAAGGGAAATTGATAACGAGGTATTAAGGGATTCAATAGTTCCGCATAATAGTTGACAGTTCTGGCTATCATTATAACGATATTACATCATCTGCGTAATTAAAGCTCCGCGGGGCACACGCGTATAATTTGACCTGTAACGACGTCAATTAACTAATGTATTTTTAAATAAACAAAACAAGGTGTTTGTGACAATTTTACTTCTAAGAATGAGTTATTTTGTTTCTACTACAAATATATATATATATATATATATATATATATGTATATAAAATTACGAACTACTTTTATTAACGCTGATTAACTGCGGGAAGTCTTTCAATCTTTCAGCTATTCGTTGAACTGTTAGTACTGCGATCTAGTACTACGAAAGGCGCACATTAACTAATAAGGTAGAGTTAGGCAAGCTAATGTTTGCCAGCTCGATTCCAAAGGAAACAAGCCAAAAGTTAGACACGATTCCGAGAATCAAAATGATTCAGTTACAAAAGATTACATGATCGATCGTCTACGGCAAGTTTAAAACGCACGATATATTTCTTCGCGTTATATTAACGCCTACAGCTCAAATTGTATAAAAATGTGATAATTGAACGGTCTCACAAAAATAGTGGTGATAATTTTTTTCCTTAGACGAGTTTTATACAACGATCGACTTAGCATTCTGTGTTTGCAGTAACTTTTGAAGTGATCAAAGTTGTGTAAGCTCTCCAGGTAGACACAGTCTACCTGGTCAAGGACTGCAAACTTCGCTCAAATCCTTTCAAGAAATTGCACGTGTACAAATTCTAGGAATCTGCAAGATTTGCCCTCCCCCCTTCCTTAAGCTCTTTTCTTACGTACATATATTTTTCAATAAAAATTCATCCAATTTATAAAACTCTGTTGCTCGAATACACTTTGATGCGTGTGTAGAATGCGGGTACGTATCTACGAAATAAATCCCTCGTCGCATCGAACGGTCAGCTTGAAACCGGCTTGTTGCACAACAGAATATCATGAGCGCTTAAATCCAAAATCAGATACGAATTGGAGATATAGAGCAGGAGAATTGAATATTTGGTACAATAAAATGAGAAAGTAACGAAAAATTCCTTTATTACTTTTAAAGTGCCGAATATTAAATATGTAATTAAAAAAAAATAGTACGAGGGTAGTGGTAAGAGAGAAAAGATTATTTAAGTACGTCATGTTATATTTAGATCCACATTGCACGTGTCTAAAGACAAAGTCACGTTCGGATGAGCATCGGCATTATTGGGTTAAAAAAATAACGTTCTCGCATAAAAAAGTCGTCACAGTTAAGTTAACATAATTATTATGCATGAAATGTTGAATGTCAAAGAGGATTTATATTGGCCGTCTTTTATCTGGATGTCTAGGAATTCGTGATCTTAAAACAAGTCGTGTTAAAGTTGTGACAATTGTAGTATTAACGTGGGAGCATTAATAGTGGGTAGGATATCGTAAGAGCATTTGAGATACGGTCATTTCTGTCTTCAGAGTTCACGCCATGTCAAACACATCGGGATTAGTAAAAACTTACTGTCTACCTTAAGAACGATTCGAGCAATTCGTTATGCTTCGCTTCCGAATTCGTTGGTCGTCCATTCAGCGGAAAAAGAATCCAATTCCTCCTTTTCAGAATCATCAATTCGTTCGGACTCAAAGCTCCGTTCGAGAATCGACGTAGCGTCTGCCTCCCCGCCCGCGTCCTGCGCCTCATCTCTTTCTATTTTGTCCGCCGCGGTGGATAATTCATCCTGCCTCCTCGTCAAGAACTGCGCCACGTCGGCCTCCAATCCTTCTCTCGGAAGGACATCGTTTTGTTGCCGGCTGATAACGTCCAAGAGCATGCTCATTGTTTCAGTATAATCCGGCTCAAACATCCTTCCCTCGGGATTCTTCTTGAACAAATACTCGGCCTGGAAACGAGAGTAATCCCTCGGTGCAATAAGTACTTATCGCGCGCTGTGAATTCGGAATAACGAGTAAAATACAATATTTCGATGCACGCAAAAATGTTCGTGACGAATCCAAAAAATTAAAAAATTAAATCTAATAAATTAATTAAATTTGCAAATAAAGCGATGTATAAAGCGTTGATTAATTATGACTAAAAGCAAAATATTGCGAAGCGCGCTGTATTACAGACTTAAAAGTGACTTGGCCATGTTTATTGCCTATATTCGATATTTTTTTTAGCTCAATATGAAAATAACGAATAAAACATTCTGAATAGATAATCGACTATTTTTCAACTAATCATATTCATTTTCAATTTTGATGAATTTTTCAATTTTACGTAAATTGAAAATTGAGATTAAAATTCGATCGGAGCATGCAGATTCATCAATTATTTTGTGTATAATTGGAACTACAGATAAACAGAACTTTTTCTTATATAAAATATTAAAGATTATTTTTTTTGTTTATAAGGTTTATTATTAAAAAATTTGTGATATACTTGTATTATAATTTTAGTATTTTTTAAATTTTTATTATTTTACTATTCGATAATGCCTATTCATTCAGGATGAACATAAATAATTTTTTAATTGATGAATATACATACTCATCGATATTTTTGTTCGGTATCAACAAATTTACAGTTCGACTCACACATTTCTCTTTTCAATTTAATTGCGCGCACGAAACTTTTTCGGGCTATTTTGTAGTTTCTACAAATAACCTGGGTCAGCTCCCGCATTCTTCACTCGTACGTGAGGGTACGCGACAGTGTAGGATCGACCTCATAATCTGTTTAGAAACAGGTCGTGTGCCTCATTCTCCCCTCCCTCTCCACCGCCGATATTACGACCCACTTTCACTTTCAATGTCGCTCGTGCTACTACGCTCTGATTTTTGCATCAGAATTCTTCAACGTCGGGACGAACCCACGCGCGTCGCTCTTTACCTTCACATCGTTTCAATTCTCGCGTATATCACGGCGCGAGAGCCTCGCGCCGTTTGTTTTACTTGTAGCTGCAACAATGATTGACACGACAATGCGGCTATCGTAAATGCCGCTACGTAGTTTTGCGGTAAACAATACCTAATGCGGGATCGTCCAACAATAAGCGGAAATGGCAGAGTCTTGATCGACATTTATAAAATGCGAAAGTTATAGAATATTACGCGAGAGAGAGACCTTTGTGTATTATATTATTATTATTATTATTATTATTATTTCGTAATTATTTATTTAGAAATGTATTAAACACCGAGAGCAGCTTCATTATTTTCTGTTATTACACAAAATCTGGTGGCCCGTACGAAATTTGGCAATTAATAAAGATAGAACTTTAATGACGTTCCTTCTACGCATTGTCCCGCAACTACTAATGAATTATTATACACATGAATATCAATATCGATTTGCGTGAGGTTTGTCGCTGTTAATAAATTAGTTACCGCTGCGGCGGGCGTCATCTCCATATTTTACATGTGCATGAATATCTATGCGGCGCCGATACAATACGGCCAATGCGACCTCCAGTAGTGCCGCGCAGAATGCTTTAACACACAAATGAGAATACAACTAATATAATATGTACATGACACGCGCGATTATAAGGATAATGCGGGCCGCTCGAAAATATTTCCAGGCAAATCAGCTAATATAGAGAATTAATAATTAAAACGATTACTACAACAATTAGCAATTCCGCCATTATTCATTCCGTGTTACATTAAATAAATATACATTAGTCTGTTTTTCTTCGTACAACATGCATTGGTTTCCTTTAATGTTTGCGCGTTTTCTCTCACTCGGTAGCATCCCACGTGCCATTTTATCCAATTTTCTCCGATATACATCGATGTTGTGAAATAACTTTTTAATAGATGTATCTATACCGTTACCTTGTTATGAACGCGATGGATTTAAACTTGAGTTTCACGGGATGAGATTTGTTACGTGGATGGAAAACCAAAACTCTAATACAACGTGAAAAGGGCTTTTAATTCTGTATTTTTTAAAGTTCCTTATTTTGTTAAAAAAAAATAGCCATTAGAAGTAATAATTTATGGATAAATAACTTTTTTCGCTATTCAAAGTGTTCGCTATTTCTCAAAACCGACCGTTATCTCATCGCTTCTCGGAAAAATTGTCCGCCGAGATGCAAGACCGCGACGATGCAATTCGCAAAATCGCAAAACTTGTTACGCCGCTCAATTATATTTATGGCTGTTATATGAATGTTACATTGCGTCGCATTCGTAATTTTAGCACAGTCATGACGTCGCGCACATTGCGCGCATTCCATCTCGTTTATTAATTTTCCTTTGTAGCCTGGGTCCGCGCGATCGGCGCACGCTCTTATGCAAGAGCGTCTAAAGATACTGGGCTTATTGTTGCGTTATCGTGTTCCATTACCTCGCAATCTCGTATTCGCTCGTGTCTCGATATTTCCCAAACAACGTTAGAATCCTGATTTGTTTGCGCGCCGTCCGCATAGAAACGATCACATTATCTACGTCTAAGAGACGCCTAGAGCTCGTTTTATACCGTGTTGCGCGGTACAGGCAGTAATGGGGAGCACATGGCTCAGAAAATTTAGTCGAGGTAAGACTATGCCGGTTCAATGTAGACATTTAGAGAGCAATACGTCTGCACGTGCGGTCTTAATGGTAACATTTCTTTTTTCGTAATTACACACAAGCGGCGCACGTAGAAGCACGTTGATTTGGAATACACGAAGTGCGAATGCGATTGGATCTTTGTAAGTCGAGCCCGCGATGATAAAAGATACTGAAGACCGTCGGAAAACTTGATACAATGAACAATTTACTAGATAGGTTGTGACAACATTGGTGAAAAGGTATTGACATCAAAACACTTCATCCAGACGAGAGAGATGATAATTCCTACGAGACCCGTGCACGACGTTGCCGTGCAAGATCGATACGACGATGAAATTTTTATCAGACAGCCGACATTTCTCTCCATCCAGTTCATCGGCCTGCGGATGGAAAACGTGGATGATAATATTGCTGAGATGCTCTTGAAATTTGAATACTTTAATACTTTATAAATCCATTAGTCTTCATAAATTTGTAATATCAAAAATCAAACAAAGAGATGTGAAACGACATTTCGATAACTTAGATTATTAAATAGATTATTTAAAGGAAATTCAATGTTTTTTATTATTGAACGTGACAGCGTTCGTAATTGTGCATTGTCGTAAATGCCCTTCACCGAACAATAAAATCGAGGATCGCTTTAACGTCCCTTTCATCTGCATATTGTCCCTGGATGATTCGCTCTATAACACTCTGAGATTGTATTTGCTCTCAAATAATTGTCTTTTAAATAATGAATTCCGAAGATAATAAATTTTGAAGATGACATATTCATTTCGAATTCTAAATTTCGAAGATTGAACGTAAATTAATTTAAAATTAATTAAGTTGTATTACTACAATGGCACGATGTAATCTACCGAAGCCGTGGAGAAACATCGAAGATAACGAGAATTTATTTATCAACGTCGTATCTCCTATCCCTCTGTATCTCATGTTTTTTCTTTGTCATCTCCTCTCTTCTCCCCTCGTATCTCGTTGCTTCAGTCTCGCTACGATGGTCTATCTACCCATTTATGAAACTATGTATACACAATGAGAACTTTCTATTACCAATTTTAATGAAAAAAAATCATTGCTGAAAGAAAACATTGTAATGAATTGAAAGTGGGCAAGAACTTTCTCCTACGTAGGCGATTTTACGATTAGAGGAAATGAAAAATTGAAAAAAATAAAGATGTAGGTGATGAGATCCATTATGCGGAAAATGGTTGCAATTTTTCGTGCCGACAAAATTTATCTTGCGATGCAACAACAAGAATATGCATAAGTCATATATTTACCTTTTAAATAATAGAATAATTTTATTAAATAATAAACTAATTTTAATCTAACAAAATAATTTTATATATAAAAATGTTTAAAATATTTTATTTTTAAAAAAATTAAGATATGTACATAAAATTACATAAATGCGTAAATAAGGTACACAATGTGTAATAAGATACATAAAATATGTAAAAGAAACGATATTCAGTTTAATGCTGAATTCGCGATATAGCGTACGCGATAATAGCGTAGACCTTAAATCGCAGGATTGCGTTTGTATGATCATTGAAGAGATCGATCGTGAATAATAGAACAAAATTAAAACGATTACTGAAGCCGATAGTGAAAAAAATTGCCTATGCCCTTTGCGTTTCTCCGTAATAGCGGACCGATCGAAACCGACGAAGCTCGAAATCACGAAATTATAGATAGAAGGTCCCGATATGGTCGACAGAGAGCCAGGAGAACGGTCATGCTCCTATTCCCCTCGTGGCTCGATGCTCCGGAGTGGAACGGCGTCTAATCGTGAGCAGCAACCTATCGATTTCCACGGGAACGGGATTCGAAGTGTGAAAGTTGTTCTCGCATTCGCACATGTGAAATGTTCCTTTCGCGGCGATTGCCGAACTGTGTCGAAAATCTAACGGAATTGCCTTAGTTTGGCGACGCCTTAGAGTGGACGTTCGCGCTCGCACCGAGCAGGTGCCAACGGAATTTTATTCGATAGACACGTTCGCGTCTAACGCTTTCACTCCTGCTAATTGCAATCGTTGCACATGTGTGCAACGCGCGAGTTATCATTTTTTTCCAGTTAAACATCACTCAAACATAAATTATTGTTTAAAGTTACTATTTGAAGCGTCATTTATCAGCCATTTATTAAAGATTTGTTGAATAATAAAAATTATTCTGGAAAGTTTAATCTCGAAGTATCTTCACGCTTTAAATGAGATATCATTATACTCAATAAAATTTTATAAATTTTTAATTATAGCGAGATATTTTTTGAGCACTTTAAATGTTGTGAAAGAAATAAATTGCGATGTAATGTCTTTACGTAGATTTTCAAATTTCCGTTTTATACACGTAAAGAAACAACATTTATTTGACAATTTTAGTTCTTTCAATAATTTAAAATATATATAATTTTGTCAGCAAACTTTCTATAGCACGCAAGGCCATGCCATTTTTTTTCCTGTTCCGGCACGAATTGATTACGTCGATTGCGTCAATGCCACAGGACTATCGGCCGCGAAATTCGAGAACGCGTTTATAAAACGTGGCAACGTTTGTCTCGTTTTACAACGAGACGATCGATACATTTGTGTAAAAAGGCTCATCTTTCAATTCGTTTTAATAATATCCCCCCGTCTGGCTGGGAAGGTAATTGTCAAACGTCCCGTTGTGTTACCGGGTGTGCCAAACAAACTGTAAATTTAACCGAATTAAAAGTGGGTCACTCGACGTAATTACTGAGCTCCTTCGCTCCTTCGCTACAACGAGCTAAATTCGTTTAGACTACCCGAAGTTTAGTCTGCCGGAACACGACGATACTAAAATTCATTTGTCGCAGCGCATTGCGCGAGTTTGGCAAGAGTTAGTTTTATTGCGTCCCCGTGCGGCGTTTTTTGCTTTTATACCCTTACACAATTTTCACCCTGGGCTGCTATTTAAACTGCCAACGAAATGATAATTGATAACGCCTACGATGGAAGAATGTCACCACTTTTTTTTTAAAATATAATTAAACGCAATATGACATTTCCGTGGTAATATAGATATAATAATAGAATCGTGACGCTGATAAAAGGCAACAAGCGATAATATACTAACGAGAAAATCTATTGGATCCTCCGGTCGTAAGTTCGCCACTTCTATCAAAGCTTCCGTCAGCGTCGGAAATACGTACTTCATCAGGTAATGCCGTAACGGCTCCGCCAAAATGCAAAGTCTCTCCTCCTCCTCTTGTTTCAGCTTCTCCATCAAGTTCGTCTGAAAAAGACAATGCTTCATTTGCCATGCGATTCATATTGAATCACATATTGTTGACAGTTCGAAGAAATTCAACAAATTAATTTATACAACAATATCATCTTAGCAAAATTTCCATTTTACGTATACTGTTAAATCTATAATGTCAAATTTAATCTTATTTAAGTCGCCACTCCTACTTAATATATAGTTATTTTTAACTAAAACCATAGAGTTAAATAATTTAAAATAGTCCAAATTTAACCCAAATTTGAATTAAATTTCATTGTTTTATTTAAAAATATCTATGTATTAAGTAGGAGTAGTGGCGACTTAAATAGAGCTAAATTTGACAATATAAATTTAACAGTGTAAAACAATCACGAATGAGAGAAATTTGAGCTACGATTAATGTGCCTGCAGGTATTTAACGATGATAGGTATTTTACGCAAGAAGAGAAGTTTTCTTGCAGTCTAGATAATTTAATATTTGAGTTATATAATATTTTAGAAATTCCTGATTCTTTTTCCGCTCTGCTGGATGGCGTTGTATAATTATAATTCTGCATGTACAAACGAGCCATCTTACGAGCGGCCAACCGTGATCGATACGCATTTGCATTTGCCGGTAGCTTGAGTCGTTAATGCATAATGTTAAACTTGCAGGTACACAAGCTTCGTGTGTATGTACGTATACATATATGCAAAAAAGTTCCGTAAACCTTAAACACGGCTAATCCTGGTCAGTCGCGTAACTTCGCCAGATACGCATAAAAACAAAAAAGTAAATTAATGTTGTAAACGAGAACTTCAACTCGTTCGTTTAATCTTCAGATCCGCTTACGAGCTATTAAATCGTCTCCGAAAGTAATTTCTAAATCTAAAAAAAGTTTCATGCTGGTTCGTAAAACGGATATACGATGTAATATGTGTGTAATATAAACGTCTTCTAGCGGAAACATTGGAAATATCGGCCTAGTAGAAAATATTCGACGATGCGCGGACATAAATTTCGCCTGGGATCGATAGCGTGGCGCTTATGACCGGCGCGGCGGCGGTGCGATTTGATTGAAAGAAAAGCCGAATATCTGCATTCAGAATCACGCCCGGCTAAGCAGAAACTTGATAACTGCTCCCGTGATTACGTTGGATAGATTAAAGCTCGCTTATGACGAACGTGCATCTATATTGCAATAGTATAAAGAGAAAAAAAATGAAAAAAATAACTAATATGGAGACTGCATCTCATTCTCTAAGTTATTACAAATGTATACTTATTTTATTTTTTTATTGATTACATTAAAATATAGTCAATTGATTACATTAGAATATTATATCGGTTTATGCTTTAAGCAATTAAAGGATAGTTTGCCAATTTTGAGTGATTAAGTTGACTTGTGTGGAAATTAATAACTTATGTCATCGATAAACCTAATATTGAAGTTATTACAAGCAATTTTGGGAATCAATTTATTGACTATTTATGTCAATAAATTAACTCCCAATAATTCAATAATTTCTTGAGTATATAAATATTTATGGAAAATACAAAATATAAATAAAAATATATTTAATTAGTATAGACATAAAATCTGGTTTTTATATAAATATCATGGAAGAATTTACAAACCCATTCCATCATTTTCTCCTCGCGCCGCCTTTTACATTCCAAAATTTCTCGCTCTTTTCGTAATTCTTCCGCAACTTCAGCAGCTCGTTTTTCCGCTTCAGCGCGCTTCCTCGCAACTTCCATTTCCTCGGCTGTTGGCCCTATATGAGAAAAAGTATCTCTAACGTTGTAATTTCTAATATTATGTAATAGATAAAATTTTATGGTAGAACGACCTAATAATTTAGATAATAATAAATTTTATAAAAACTCTGTAATTGCTTTTCTTTTCACCGCTATTAAATCAGTAAAAATAACTCAGATATTATTTTATTAATCGGCACAAGAACCAATTTCTTCGATGTCAGTTAACGCTAATTGAACGTAACACTGGGAATGTTCTTTCTTTCTTTTTGTGGATCGCAGATATAATTACGATACGAACAAAGAGAAAACGAACTAAGATTGACCAGCGGCGAAAGAATCGACCTTTAGCTAACGAGAAATACAAGCATATTAAAAATTAAGGCCGCTGTTCCAGAAATTATTACTTTGAAGAAAGTTTTTATCTCGTGATTCAACAGCTTTATTAGAGGAATAAGTCTTCTTTAATAAATTTCACTGCGAACAATGGGATATATCATCCCCGTGACATTTATCTTTTCGTCAGTTTGGAAATAGGGATAATGGGCGAGCAATAACGGAACATGCGCGATAATATTGGAATCGGACTTTAAAGACTTTGAAAGAAATTGAAATTTTAAATAGACACGAAATAAACACGAAATTGCGGGAGAAAGTATATAAATCATCGCGCACCGTAATTTCTTGGTTCTCCTAATTTTTCCAGACACCGATAAACCGTTGGAAACATATCTGGACAAGTGTCAGTTTCCACAAAGATGACGAGTGGGTGGATTTCCATTTCGTCGAATAATTGTAGCGGCGTGTTATCGTCCGTATTTCTCTCCCTAGATAGAATATCATTTGTGAGCCAATGCATTCGTTGCACAATCTTTTTGTATAAATAACCTTTCGCATAACTAGTTATTTATGCAAGCTGCACTCGCGTAACTTTGTTCAAATTATCCTCTGAACTCATATGTTTGACAGACGCACAATGTAAAAAGAAACCCTCAGATGATAAATTATATTAATTTAAATGTAGCTTGCGGAAAGATAGGAGGATACAGGCTCTTTAATATAAATACACGGTATAAAAAGCGTTCAGCTGAAAATTCTTTAATCGAATTAAGAATCGCTCGAGTAAGTCCTGCAAAGTCCTTTCAAGTTGTACCGTAGCGTAAAAGTAACTTAATTGTCGCGTGAGCGTATAATTTTTAACTGCCACGTTGCATTTGATTTTCTCACTTGTTACATTTTATTGCGGATGTAATCGATCTTTATCCGTGTATTTTCCAATCCCATTTGCGCGGGATTGGAAAGCTGGCTTCGATATCGATTCCCTTCGTCAAAACTGTCGACGATATGAATAAACGGCAGTTCTTTTTACGAGATACTTTTTAAGCCATAAACATTTTTTTTTCTCTCCTGTCTCGCGTGCGTGATTAAATACCTGTATTCTCTCATGCGTCGCAGCATGTGCTCCTCCGTATAATGCGTGTTTTGTATCTCTCTCTCTGGACGATTTATGATGCGCTCTTTCAAAAACTCGTCGCTCGCTTCCAAAACCACGACTAACTCCGGCACGATCGCCGTGTTAACGTTTCTAGCTGCAACATTTTCGTCCTCGCCTCCGACTTCCTCTAAACTCTCGTCGCTGATCAAAAATAGATTCCTAGCTTGTTCAAAGGTCTTGGGATGACCATCCATCACGTATCCTTGATTCAAACAGTCCTTCGAGTTCAATCGGTTTAGGAACAACCTTTTACATTAATTAATACTTCTATTATCATTTGAACAATGCAAAATATTATTTGCCAATATCGTATTAATTGAATCGTTTTGAAAACAGATAAATTTTATCATTCGCTAATAGCATATTAATTGAATCGTTTATTTAAAAAAACAGATAAATTTTAAATATCATAAAAGTTTGTGCTTTAAAATTTGCAGCCAAAACTTTAACACATTTTCCATTTTAATCTATATTTATGCAATGCTGTCTCTAGGTAAGCAATCCACGTATTTGCTTTTGACTTAAACACTTTCTTGCAACATGTTACATCCAGGCTATACAAAGTTGGTGAAGCGAGGTTTGTAACCTGCGGCGTGTAATGAAATTTATTGTACGGTGTTATGTTTAAGTCGAAACTTTGATGTGTACATTATGTAACTTATCTGGCAGGAGAATATACTGTTCGGGAAAGTAACGTTGTACGCGTCTTACGAGGTATCGTACGCGGCGGAGAGCCTCGTGTTCCACTGATTTGTTGAGAAAGATATTGAAAAAAATGTACGAGAATGCTTATGCATTAATTTATTACGAATTCACACGCTTCGTTAATCGCACGCGCGGTTCATGGTCGCGGTATAAGTATCGATCCGAATGGAAACGTAAACCATATGAGCGAGCAAATGCGTTTGGATTTTCATGCAATTAACGTTTTCGGAGAAAGCACACCCTATATAGACTCTGGCTTTTAACACGAACTGCGCTACTGCACCATTATGTCGTTAATTAGAAAACGTTTCGGTGCCAATGTGATTATAGCGCCGCAAACGCAGGAAATGAAGCTAACTAACGGCGTGAGCAGTGCCGGTCCCGCAAATAAACGCGACGCCGAGCTCGGGATAAACGCCGCCGAATACCTACACGGGAGAGTTCGTAAAACTTGGCGCATCCCAATATTTAATCACCTGTTCAAGATGATATCGTCCAGACGGCCATTATTCGCTGCCATGTTGGACCGGATCTCGTCGAGCTGCTCCTGCAACTTTGCCGGGCTCAGAACGACCTCTTTTTTGTCCTCCACTTCTTCTTTTTGAGCCCCCTTATTCTCGTCGCCACCGGCGACGCTTTCCGCTATATCTGTCGGGTCATCTTGTCGTCTCGTACTCGCTTCCGCAGCTTCAATGCCGTTGATCTTTGGAATCGCGATCGTCGATTTTTTTCATTATATTATCCGAATGTAAATTACGGAATGTTATATATGGAAAGACCATATTGACAACAATATGGTGTCTTTCCACGAATAAATACGGGCTCTGGCAACAATACGATCTTTCCACGAACAAATACGGGCTCACCAATTTTTGGATTGCATCGGAGATCAATGTTTTCACGTGAACGTAGTGTATCCCGTAATGCTCCGCGAGATATCGAGCGACCCGAGTTTTCCCAGACGCCGGCGGACCAAGAACGACTATTTTCACTGGGCGTAGATTTCGCACTACTTTGTATTCCTTTATGACTAAATTTACAACGTCGCGGAATGGCATGCCGAAGTGCCAGCGTATTCGGTCGATGATATACACGGGATCGATATTTAAATCCACTGTCATCTGGTCGTATATCTGCTGTGAAACTTCTGGCAGCGAAAGAGCCACTTCCTTCGATACACTTTTTACCTCACCGGTGGTTAAGCCTTGGCTAATTTTCTGTTTACAAAGGTATTAATCAGAAGCTAAAAATATCATATCGGAAGAGAGAGAGAGAGAGAGAGAGAGAGAGAGAGAGAGAGAGAGAGAAGGAAGATTATACAAGATACACTGAAAAAAGAAGTCTGATAATAGCTACCCAATGTAATTTTTATAGCATATCGGTGCAACATTTAGTAAATATTATCAAATATACTATTAGTAACCAGCCGTTTGGTAATAATTATTAAATGTTATTAATATTTACAAAACATTTTGATTATATTAACTGAATATTTGTTTGAAATTATTTCACCAAAGTTCTGTAACTGTTATCTAGACTTGAATATAATTATTACTAGACTTTTTTCAGTATAAGACACATTTATTTTTATATCTTTTATTTTAATTTTATTGTGTATATGTGTTTTGTTTTGCAATTTCTTGAAAATTTATTTTACTAAAAATATACAACATCGCATGAAAAAATAATAACGCGGGAAGACTATTGAAGACTAATAGGTATACATTTGTGTTTTATAAAGACTTCCAAATAATGAAACAGTGCACAGATATATACAAATCTTCATAAAAAAGAAAACATCCGTAAATTATGGTGAAGAGTTAATATTCGCAATCTTTCGACGGTCTTGTTAAAATCGACTCTAAGTGACTCTTTCCTCCGCATTGCTTGTGTAAACCAGTTTATGCAAGTAGGACGAAGAATGTCTCAAAAACTGGTTTGTACGAGTAAAACGGAATATACGAAGCGGATTATTGAAATCAACCCCCATTTCGAATAATTGAGGTCAACATACGGAAAAAAATATTAACGCGATAAAGATTATGATAATAGTGACTAAAATTTCTTTTTGTTCACATTTTTCTTATTGTAAATGTGCATATTTAATGACATATAATGTTGATATATATCTTGTTCTAGTATTTTTTTATTAAAAAAAATAAAACATAAGCTAAAAATGTGAGAAAATATTTGACACAATATTTTTAGTATTTGACTAGTCAATAAGTGAAAGGATTCGTACCTTAACGATCGCACTTTGGGAGATTAATTCCTGCTCCACCGCCACGATGTACCGCATCGGAGGCCAATTTTGTAGCACCGAGGATACAGTTCTGAAAATCAAATTACTTGAAACGGTAAGCGGATTTGGTTAACCTGACAATTAGAATTCCAGCGTGCTGCAACAAGCTTATGCTAGCACACACATCGGCGTACCAAAATTGATGAAATATTAAACTTTTTCAGAGATCATGGAAACATTCTGAAATCGTGATATTTACCATAATATATGTATATTTATATATATTCATGTATGTAATATGATTTATTATTTTTATTGTTGTCATTATTTTCGTAACAATATCAATTCTATTTAGAGAGTATGTATATAGAAATATTAATTTATAAAATTGTCGTCTGATATTAAATACAAAATTAAATTGATGAAAAAATAATATTATATTGCAATAATATATATTTTTTATTGAAATATTTGCGACGTTTGATAATATTGGATTTAATTTAAATTTAAAGATATTATATATATATATATATATATATATATATATATATATATATATAATATTCCGAAGCACATCTTAATCTATTTTATTCTTCGAAAATCGCAATTCCTCGAACGAGACAATGTTCTTTTACATATATAAGAACATTATCTCGTTCGAGGAATTGTGATTTTGATACGAAGAATAAAACAGATTGAGATGCGCTTCGGAATACGTTATATAAGAAGTTCAATGCTTATTTATAATATCTATAAAATAATATTTGCAACAGAGTTTTTTCTTCAAATATCAAATACTAATATCGCAATTCCTCAAACGAGATATCTTTTTTACATATTTCTTTTTTATTATTTTACTCACGCGGCCAAGTCGCGCACGTATAAGAGGGGTATCTTATTTCGTCCTTTGCCAAATATCGGTAAGAAAGGTGCGTTTTGCCATGCCATTTTGAAAAGGTAATGAATCGGACCTTCCTCCTCGCCGTATGTGATTCCGCAACAAATGACCAAAGTATTTAATTTGCTCTTTAAACTGGCAATTTTCTTTACAGCCACAACCTCTCTCTCGCATTGAATGTGTTCCTTGTAATTTGGATGGGGCTTTCGCTTTCGATAATCTGCTTCCGTGAACGGTAAATCTGGATCTGCCGGATCTAACGGCTTCGTGAAAGCCCACGTCATTATGGTAGAAATCAAAATAAAATATCGCGTTGGCTCGTCTCGTTTGAAAGTTTTTGACGATTTTCTCTCCATATCTTCCAGCATGCGAACAATTTCTGAAAGCAGGAAAAAACTGTATTTATTGTGTCGATAAAAGCCCTGCGTAAGTTTTAAAGCCAGAATCTTAAACGGTGAAACAAATTAGATATAGATATGACATATCGTTAATTATCTCCTAACAGAGAGAATAGGAAATAAAAATTTAAACTGTTGACAGACAATTCCTATTTACATAATTTAATTTAAAAATGGATTACTTTTTACAATGATCAAAATATAGGACATGATTTTTCTATACTATATGTATTTCTTTAATTAAAAAATTCTTTATGTAAATATACATATATAATATTTTACTAATGAGATACATAATTTAAATAATATACTTCAGTATTTTCCTTCTCTCTACTTCGCGTGAAATGTACAGTAGATCTCGGGAAGAATAATGAAGATATACACTATCCTTCTCTTAATTATTAATTAATTAAATGATGAATTTCTCAAACTCGGCAAACGTTTATTCTGTAGGTTAAGTTCCAAGAAACGGAATTTCAAGTTGAACGTCGGCAATCTAATTCCATGTTTAATGAGGTATATTGACATAAAAAACACAAACCGTAAAACAAAAATCTCTTTATTACGAAGTGATAATTTATTTACGAAAATCATTTCTCTTCTTACAATCTTAAAATGAAAGCAATATACTTGTATTAAGATAGAAGCAATTTGTGTTAATGTACCCTTCAAGATCCAGCATGCCTCCTTGATTTGATCCGGTTGCTGCGTAATATCGTAGATAATGACACTGCAGATCATCAACTCAGATAAAAGAAGGTCTTTGTCGTCCGAGTTAATCACCGTCACGTCCTCCGGACCCGAGTACTGTCGGGCAGCGACGAAAATCAAATGACATTACGTGCTAACAAATTTAACACACTTTCTTTTTATCGCAGACTCCTTTGCTTTTTACACTCGCGCTTATCTTATTTTATTACCAATTCTCGTATGACGAGAGAACAAGATGCATTTAATATGGCGTGCGTATACTTCACAGATCTCAACATTAGATAAGACGTATATAAAAATATATAAACATATTATATATAAAGACGCATATATAAAAATTCGTGAAAAAGGAAATATTGATAGAAACTGATAAATGAAAACTCGTTTTTTTCAAAATACCGTCATTATCAAACTTGAAGGAACTTGAACTTCAAAGGAACTTGAAAATATTACCTTGCGATCCAAAACTGTACCGATCACTTCATATTTTCTTGAAACTTCTCTACTCTTGCCCGGCTTTCTTTTCTCTCTCTCATTTCCTTCCGCATATTCGTCGTCGTCGTCTTCGAATTCATCTTCTTCGTCGTCCGGCGGGACGTCTGCTTGTGTACTTAGCGGATCGATATAGATAGTATCCAATAGTGTCTGATGAACGTTTTCAATTAGTTAAGTTTTATCACGATATCAATTATACAAATGTCATTTATAATATCCTAATCTAAAAAGTATATCTGAAAACTGTTTCCACATTTTCATTTGCATAGATAGATATTACTTGCATACATATTAATATGTGTGTATCATTTTTTTCCCTTCTGGATTAACCAATATCATGTTATAAAACATTTATGAGCAGAAAAAAAAAGAATCATCTCATACGTTCGATCAAATTCAGTGATCTACTTTCAAAGTTTTTATAGTGGAAAAAAGAAAGATAAGATTGCCATCGCGTATTTAATGAGGAATATGAATAAAAGGATATTGCGCAATCATATCGAGTGGTTTTAATGTTGGCTTTTTAAAGCGTGCCTTTGAAAAGTTTTTTGTGAGCATCAGCGTTACATCTTTTATTTAGAATTCTCCGCCATATGGCGAAGCAATTTGTCGATGTATATTGATGTAACGTTAGTTTTAATTACCGAACCGCAAACAAATATTTGTTTCGTAAACTACGCTACAACGATTAAAAATAATAATTTAACTGAACTGCTATGAGAAACCCTCGAGGGTAACTGCGAAAGTAATAATGATCGCTTCGTTATTTCTCATGTAATTTTTATATTTTATGAAAAGTGAGGTAAAACGATTTGTTCATACAGTATTACGGTAGCCTTAATTGATGTGATTAAAAAGGCAATGTTAAAAGGGCAATAAATTAGAAGATTTCCTGATTATTCTTTTACCTACTAATTATTGCGCACTAGTGCGATTAAAACAATACACACGAATCAAAGTTATCCATACTCACAAGCTTCTAATTGGGTCATGGCTTTTAGCGTCGAGTATCTACTTTTTGTCATGTTTTGAAAACAATTTTATCATGATACTCGCATATTTTGGAACATATGATTGATTCAAAGCGAGATTATACAATGCATTGCATACTTGAATCGCGTAATTAAATTCTTTTTAAAATTATTAAAAATATTAATGTTGTAGTATTTAATTTATTATAGTTTTTATTTTTTTTAAGATACTCATTTTCGTTAAAAATTGTATTTTTCAAATAACATGTATTATTGTTACAATATTGATCCTAAAATAAAATGTATATTTCTTTCATATATATGCAAATTTGTATTATCAGAAGGAATAACAAAAATAGCAAAACGTTAAACGAGATTCTAACTTTAAAATAAAAATAAGATAGAATATGAAAATAAAAAAAAATAAAGATTATTTTTATAATCTTTACCTAAAACTTTTCCTAACACGCTACGTATTTAATAGACCACACATCGTATAAAATGTATGATTCGTGTCAAAGATTGTATTAAAGGTAGAATCAAAGATCTTTGTGAAGAGAGGATTGAAAAATATCTTTTAAACGAAAAGAGGAGATATTGAAGTTTATATTTTTCTATCGACTTTGGTAAATCTTTGTTTCTTTATTTGACAAATATGTGGTAAACCTTTTCGACCTTAATGTTATATGATAACTAAATAAACTATATATACATACACATATATAAATAAACATATATATATATTTTTTGTTTTTATAAATGATACATACGTCAGTTAATATCTTTCCATGATAGCTGTCAATATGATTGATGAAAATACGCCAAGGTTTAAAATGCGGTTTCACATTTTCAGTTGACAAATCACAACCCTCTTGTCGTTTTCGAGCAGCCTCAAAGCCGTGTAGACTGTCTAAAGTGTCCGCAGCATTTGTTAGTTCAGTTATTGATATATTTTGTTTGCTACCCATATTGACTAAATAAATACACGTGGCATGTAACTATTACATCACAGATATGCGATATTTTGATATGCGAAGTTATGTGAGCTACGGGATACGTTTTGCTATCGACATTTCTCTGAATTGTTGAATTTACAACTTCAATTCGATAGAAAATTTGTTACATCTATATATAGATATCAAAATATATAAAGTGCTACAAATATTATATTATAAATTATGCATTATACTAAGTTCCCTTTATTTCTTTTTTTATATTTTTAGATTTTATTTTAAAATTGAAGAGTAGTTGGATAGGCAAAAATAAGAGAACGTAGGATATCTGATATATCTATATAGTATGACAATAATTTATAACTGGAATGAATTAATACTTTGAGTTATTAATTTCAAGGTGTATTAAATTAATTCAAATATTATCAAATATAATTATTAATAACGAGATTAATAAATATGTGACATGAGGGTTATGCGTTCGAAGATTACACTAGGGCGGTATACAAACGAAATGTGAAGATTGTGATCCTATGATGCGAAACAAAGATACGCGCGTTTCCAATTTTAGAACAATCTCTCTCTGACAACAGCTATTCGTGAAAACCGAAATTACAAGCAAGGGGAACAAGAAGTGTATCCTGTCTACATCGAGCTCAGGCCATCAAATAAACCACGAGTTTATTTTAAAGAATTTATAATTCGGGGTAAAAGCCGGAACAGAATTCTATTATTTATAATGTTACAACATAATTTATATTTGAATATATATATTTTTCATGCTTGAAAAATATTTTGTCTGTATTCAGTACATGATATGTAAAATTGTAAACACAATCCTCTCTTATGTATTATCATGAATTAAAAATTGTATACATAAGTAACAAATAAATGGACAATTTCGGCAAATATACATTAAATATATAATTTCAATAAAATAGAAGCACGAGAATAAATATCAAACGATACGAAATTTTCAAAATAATATATTTCAACGATGGTGGATTTTTTTTACAAAACGTGAGAGGAAAAGCCAAGGGAGGGTTGATGGTGTCTGAGGCAACGCGAGTTGAAGGTCAGAGAGGATCGTAAAGGAAGAGGTCAAGGCCGCCAGTGCTAGACGAAATATGTTGGCGGCGATACCTTCTGAGAGCCTATACTAATTCCATACAACGTATAAACTCGTTATAAGGAATTGGTACATTAACATTGAATTGATATACAACGAAAATCCGTAGGATTATCAAAATGTATATATAATGGGATTAACGGTGAAAGCACATGAACAAAGGATGTAAATTTCCTATTGGCCTTGTAGGAGTATCCCGATATAGCACGCGAAGGACTATTCGAGCTTTCCGTGCAAGGAAAGGGTCAGGGGTGGCGGACGTCATACGGAAGATGAAAAAGCGCAATAAACATAAAAAGATATTGGCATGTTTTGACGGAACGGCAAGCATGTGTATCAGCTATAGAACCTCGATTAATAGACAACAGGTTGGAGAAATACGATAGGTTGTTTTTCCAGTTATTGTTCGCCCAAGTGCTATGTGCTTGTAAAGACTAAATTTCTTGCTGCGAAGATTGATTGACAGATATTGATATTACAAAGTTAATAATATTTCAATAATTTTTCATTAAATAATAACGACACATGACACATTTTCGTTAATTATATCCTAATAATAATAAAATATTTACGATTTTCGTTTATTTATTAAATCAATAATATTAATGCAATTTGTTTTAAATGAGTGAAATATATTGAAATATATCGAAAACGTAATAGAATAACTTTACGTTGTCGATATTTTGATCAACTTCCCCTCTTTATTTAACAATCGGAAAAGAGAATCGGAAATAATACCGTAATTTATTTACATGTACGTGTTATTCGGGGAAAGTTATTAATGAGAAAAATCTCTAACGAGAGAAATGTCGAGAAAACGAAACGTAGTTATTATCAGCGACAAATATTAGAAGTCTTGTGATGGCAGCGACCTCGTAATTCACTATACCTCATCAATCACTCTGCCGTATACATTGCCCGCGACTCGGCACGACGCGGACGAAAAAGTGTCTCGTAAATCTCTACTCTACGTTGAAAACTTTACGAATTCGTCACGCGAGTATAAACTTTTACTCGCATATAACGTAAATATAATACATGTAGCGTAAGGAAATTATACATTATACCGGTTGTACACTAACTTTTAATGACATTCGATTTCAGCACCGAAAAAAGCGTTCTTAATTTCCCTATCGACAGTACAATTAACGGTCTCTAAAGAGGAAAAAAAATAAAATAAAAAAATATTTTTTGATATACAATTTGTTAGAGGTTAATTGTGTTAATGTTCGCTTTGTATGAAATCCGCAAAACCGGATTTACGGAGTTGGCAAAGTTCAAATTGAATTGCGGAATAAAGGAAAAACTTCCTTGGGCAGGCATTTGTAAGAGTTTGCGCCGTCATTGAGATTTCGAGGGCGCATTTTATTTAGACCCACCCAGATAAACTTTGTTATTTTCATGGAAAAACTGAAATCGCGCGACGCGATTTTAACACGCGTATGACTGAATGGAGCCGCGCGACGCGCGCGGGCAAATGTTAACTCGACGCGCGCGAGACGTCTGTCGTAATAACAAATGAAAACTTTACAACGTAACAATAAACCTACCTACGCCCGATTCTTGCTCGCCGCGTACAGTTCCATTTCACTTGCTCGTTGCAGCAAACAAAAAACCCGTATACGGGGTTTTGTTTGCAGGTTTCATTTCCATTGTTTTCAAAGATAAAAGGCACACACTGCGCGCCATTTCCTTTTTTAAACAGCCGCGATACGCACACGCGAAAAAAAAGGGCAAAAAAGGGAGAGGAAAAAAGCGATAATACGTGCCTCTGTCTCGTACATGTGCAATTTAGTCAATCAAAGGCCCTGTGTGACCAATCGCGCATCGATTTCCTATTACTTTCCACATAGCGTGTGTTGCAGCATTTCCAACAGTTCTCGGTGAGCCGCTTCTGTGAAGTAATCTTCTCTGCTAACGCTTTTTACTGATAAAAGCAGATATGGTGTAATGAGAGATACAGGGCCTAATAAAAATTATTTTTAGGCCTGAGAGACATTCTTCTTTCTTATCTCTTAAAAAGAAATTGAAAGCAAAAATTCGTGCAAAAATTTATCTTCTAATCGAAAGTATAAATTAAATATACTGGTTGCATGCAGAATATTCTCACAGTAAATTCTCTCTTATTAATTCTCAAATGTCGTTTTGATCTCAGAATTGTGTATATATGAAATATATGCCGGGAGGAAAATGCGTCATATATTATACTTATATACGCGGCTGATAACTCGCTCCACATTGAGGCAAAAAACAAAGATATTTCTGTCATTAGCAAGACACGCATTGTTCTCGATATAAACGAGAACGGAAAGCTCGACGCGTTGGCGTATCTCTTCATTTGCCTGAAACCAAGGATACCATTCTCTTTGTGGGATGCGCACGATGATGCATTTCTCGCAAACATTTACACGCGCGCACACACGTACACGCGCGCAATTTATTTAAAGAGCCTTTCTCGTTGGCATCTTCTTCTTTCTATTGGATGAACCTTAATGAAAGTCATGCTTCTCTCTCGGATGTTTCGTCTGCTTTGCAAAACAGTAATTTGAAAATTACATATATATGATATTCAATCTAATCAGTAACTTATATAACTTATATAATATAATATAACTATATAATATAATTTTCATTGTCCATTACTTAAATTACATATAGTGTAACAGAACGTTTCATGGCGCTATGAATTTCTATGAACATATTTTATTCATTTCTTTCACTATGTTCGCCTACGCAGCCTGGCATTCCGCAAAATAATATGCTAAGTAAACATTTTTTATAAATGTCACGAAGCAAGATAAAATATATCAAAAAGTTATTTTATTAAATCACATATATCTCTTTATTGTATCTACATGTGTGTTTATATCTTGTTAATTATTCATATTTTCGATTCTCCAAATTGTTTATTTGCTTACAACGAGTTCCTGGTAACAAACCCTTGTTTTTCCAGAAGAATGGAGCGAAAATTTCCCATATCAGCTTCTGATAGCGGCAGGAGTGGCTCTTGTCGGCCTGGTCCTGCTGGCAGCGGTGAGCTTCCAGTGCTCTTCCACTTGGCGATGGTTAATGAGCATGACTCGACATGAGAATATCGAGGATACGGAGACCGATCAGATTCAACAAAATGCGATTCGCATTAGTCACTCTCTCCCGGATCTCCAATCGGAACCGATTACTGAATACGTTCAAGAGCAGAAGGATAACAAGAAGGTAAATCGTTGATGAATTCGAATTAACGAGACGTCCTTAAAAAAAACCACTAGTAAAATTCCGCGACTGTTTCAACGTCGGCGTTTTATTTCAGGTGTTGCGTCAAACCACTCTACCCATCGTGCCGATGAGACATCAAAGCTTCCAACGTCAATTATCACATCGGCTTGATTTACCCAACATCAAATTCAGCATTTGCAGCTTTGAAAATCGCAGCGACTCCAGCCTTGGCCTTATCAAGGTATTTGGGCGTTTATTTCTCGATATATTCCTCATCCTTGTTATGATGGATGTTGAAATGCAAACAGCGACGCAATGTCATTTGATTCCCTTTGAAACAAGCTTATCATGTAACACATAGAGCGCTTGTATATTCCGATTTTCCCCTGGTTTATTTCCAGCCACCTTGATTCACGTTAATTGATCGATACTGTGTAAATGCATGGCATAATTGAAATATTGTGAAATATTGATTTTACTTGCGAGATATATAATATCGGTGTGAACTTTGTTGACACTGCGCAGCCGGAGTTGTACAAAAAGGAACTCGTGAGGCAGGAGAGCGCGGAAAGCTCCAGCACGACAGAAATGGAGTACGCCGGAAAATTGCATTTTGCTCTTCGCTACGACAAGGAAATCGAAGGACTCGTTGTCAAGGTAAGGTAATCGCGCAACACTCTTTTTTACGATGGAAATTTCAGTTATATTAAAACAGATGCTCGCGCGATAAAATACATATCATAAATCATACAACAATACGAATTTTTTTTTAATTGTGCATGGCACAGCAGGTAGAAGAGATTACGCTACACAAATATTTGAATAAAATATTAAGCGAGATAAATTCACATATAATTGTATAACTGAGATATAACGTTTTCCCGCGGACTGGAAAATAACGTGTTTCGCACGTGAATAAATGGATTCGCATTTAAACCCGCATTTATGCGAGTTCGTGTGTATACGTATCTATCTGGGTTATATTCAGCACGTGAGATATTGAATAATGATAATGTAGTATCACAATATTGCGTTTATGATGGACATATATCCCCACCCCCCTCGTGTCAGAATTAATCGTGGTAACGTGTAGATTAGGTAATGCCGGCCACATTAAGCTATTACTGTATGTAGCGAAGTCAAGTGCATTAAGATCAATTATACACGGCAAACCGCTTCATAGATAAATTAAATTTGAATATGACGCTGTTATCGACCTTTGCTCCATTTGCCACGTTATATTACACATCAAACGTGAATTTGTATAAAAATATGACATTTCAAAATTGGTTTTTGTAGGAGAGAGAAATTCTCTATATCGATTATATAAAATATACATATAATATGATTATATATATACATATTATATGATTATACATATAACAGTTCAATTATAGCACTATCTTACTTTTTACTATTGTTTGCAAATCAAAATATGTGCGAGATAAAAATAATATTTAATATTACGAATATTATTCAACCTCCGCCTCTTTAGAAACACGATATTATTTTTATTGTTATTTCCCGTTCTCTCACGTAATCTTACCTGACAAGTTCAATCTGGATTCTTTGATGTTTTAGGTTTTGGAAGCTCGCGAATTGCCGATAAAAGATGTAACGGGTAGCAGTGATCCGTATGTGAAGGTGTACCTGTTGCCAGACAGGAAGAAGAAGTTTCAGACGAAAGTACATCGAAAGAATTTGAACCCGATATTCAATGAAACCTTTATCTTTAGGTAAAGTCATTTGTAATGCAGTATTGTAATTCATCTTGGAGGACTTTTTCTTATTTCATTTATGTATACCAAATTATATATATAATTACGCAAGAAAAATTAAAACGCGCGGCGTTTGACATTGTAATTTATTTTATCAGCGTTTCGTATGAAGAACTGAGGGAACGTTACTTACAATTCTCGGTTTACGACTTCGATCGATTTTCACGCCACGATCTCATTGGGCAAGTTGTGCTTAAAGGGCTCTTAGAGTGCACCGACCTCGAGCAAGAAATCGAATATACGATGGACATCCTCTGCGCTTTGCCGGTACCTTAATTTGCGTAAAATGGACAGTTAATTATTTTAGGACGATTACTTTTCGGATGTACACTTTTAAATTTTTAATGTTTTAGGAAAAAATCAATCTGGGAGAATTGATGTTGTCGTTGTGCTACCTACCAACCGCCGGTCGATTGACATTAACTGTCGTTAAAGCCAGAAATCTGAAGGGAATGGATATAACCGGCAAATCAGGTCTGTAAAAAATGGATCAGATATTTTTTTGCGATTATATTACGATTATTAATGGAAAAAATCTTACTGTGAGAATATATATAATATTATTATTATATTATCATCATTATGTATGTTCCAATCATTATTATATTTTTATTACAATATTGTAATATTATCTAATTATTATCTAATCTAATATCGATCGAATGTTTCCTTTATTAGATCCTTACGTAAAAGTGTATCTGCTATGCCAAGGGAAAAGAATAAAAAAGAAAAAGACAACGGTGAAGAAAAACACTCTTTATCCCGTCTACAACGAGGCGCTTGTTTTTGACGTTCCCGCGGAAAACATCGAGGATGTCAGTCTAATAGTGAAAGTAATTGATTATGATAGGTGAGAATAGACTTTCGGCATATTTTACAGAGTTTTTTTTTTTATTAAACGCAAAATTTAATATTTCGCGCACACTAGAATTGGATCGAATGAGTTGATGGGCTGCACCGCGATTGGTTCGAGCTTCATTGGCATCGGCCGTGATCACTGGTTGGAAATGCTAGATAATCCAAGAAAACCTGTGGCACAAGGGTATCCGTTAATGGAAACTGTAGCTGGCCATATTCCAGCCGTAGATTCGGAACCACTCCCAGTAAGCCTGAGCTGCTTAAACAGCAGGTAGGTTTAACTCTTCTGCACAGACTGCAGTTTGTGATTAATTGAAATTAGAATAGTTCAACAGTAGTCCGCTAATAATTTGTTGAAAACCTAAATTCTTGCACGATAAAAAATGAAAAAAATCAGTATTTTTATCGACGCCGCTGACAAAGCTCTCATTGCAGATGAAGACAAAAGGCGGAGAGTAAATACTGCAGAAGCTCGCAAATATTGTCGGACGTCGGCTTGGACATTGTCTCCTTCTGTCGTCATTTAATGCACTTCGCTTGACTGACTTAAGTACAACCTCTGTCTCAACGGAAGGCCGGAAGGCGAACTCTGTGCTTTGCAATCTTACCTCGTGCAGCAGGCATGAAATAATAAACGATCCGGTATAAAACGGGTGGAAAAAAGAAAACCGATCATTCTCGCGAAACATATGTTGCTCAATTCCGACGAATGGCGATCGCGATCGGAAACGAGATAAATTTGCGCTGCTTTGTTTTTCTGGAGCTGTTGATGCTCTCGCGATTAGTGCGGGCTGGTCCCGCACCGTTTCAAACGCAGGTTGTTGTATTAACGCAGTATCCCCCCCCCCTTCCCCTCTTCATAGAGCCTCCTCTTATCACACGTGATGTTGAGCATGACGATAGCTTAAATGTTCTAGATTAACGCGTGAGAGGTCAGATAAAGTAAGTTTTTATAGAAGACGAAAATATAATGCGTGAGGAGCATAAGGCCTTATCCTCGACAAAGGTGAGAGAGGTGGACGCATGCAGGCAAATTTCACAGGCATGAGGACGGATTACATTGGCGGCAAGAGTACAATTGAATTGCGGAATATAGATGTCTAAGGTAGTACAAATAGCGCGTTGGATCTGTGCGTCGTTTATTATTTCACCCTCGCTATCACTTCTGCGCAAATGTTCTATTAACGTGATATATGTTTAATCATGTAATGATCACCCGATACACAAACGGGTGTACTGTTTGTGATAATGTATCTGACAAACACAGAAACGCATGAAGACACACATATACGTACACGCATAAAGACACACATTATACGTACACGTGACACACGTGGTCTGAGAGACCGTGTATATCAGTAGCTGCTCCGTACACGTATGTACATAACGTTTGCAACTGAATCGCGACTACTCGATTGTGAACTTGATAATAAATAATAATATACGTCGTGTAAGTTAATTATATCGTAATGGAGGGAAAAAAAGGAGCGAACAGTGTGCGCGCGCAGCCCTCTTATTATTTAATAAATTACGAATATATTATTTATGTGTATGCCGTGCATTTAAGAATGTATTCGAGATAATATTCTTGGAAATAATATATGATATTTACTATATAAATAAGTTTCTAACAAGAGAAAATTTAATTCTTCTGATGAGTTACATCTGGCAAAACTTGCGAATGTCTTTGACAGGTCTGTGTGAATTTTGCTCTATTAACATATTTCTAAGAACGTTACTCGCCGTTAATCCGGCGAGACGTTTACACAGAATGTATGGAGAGAACTTGAGTACCAGAGAATTATGGGCGTTTCTGGAAAATGAGAGAAATTGGATATTTTCTCAAATACATATTTCATAAATGGAGATGCGGTGACAAAATGCGTTTTCAATTAATATTTAACATCTTCTTTCTATTTTAGTATTTTCTATAAAAATTTTTCTGTGATCTTAAATTTCTCAAGTCCCTCGTCAGTCGCGTGAAGAAATGGTAATTACGACAAGAAAGTGTACGTAAGCTACACACGTATATAATTATATTACGCAAATCGTAGATAATCAAACATAATATCAAAGTTAATATCAAAGAAGTGAAATAAGAGTGACATATTCGACTAGCGGAAAATGTGCCAACAAAGTAGTTGTGTAGCAGAAGTAGTGTGATTAATGAATAGTACGTTCCAATCACATGCTTGATATAGAGACCTCAATCGGCGCGCCGTAGTAAATCCTAGAGTATCCTCCTGTCTTGAGTCAATAAATTTTGTATATACATATATATTAATGTATATTTTTCTTTTCGCCTGTAGTGCAATGCCTACAATGAGACTTAAGATTTAAGATTTAAGAAAATTGACCAATTATATAATCGATTATTCATTTCACGTGAGAAAAATAATCGATTGTAATTGGCCAATTCTCTTAAATCTTAAATTTTAAGTCTCATTGTAGACGCCGCTTCAATTGTAAGAAATATCTTTCAAAATCCTCGAGAATTTTTCATTTACTCCGTTGTTCCAGTGATGCCCATAGAAAAAGAAAAAAAACCGAAAACTACTGTATTTTTCGTACAAGTGGGACATTATACCACAGGACTGAGCTTTCTCAAATAATTTCACGTAATAAGTGGAACAGTCGCTCCATACTGAGAGTAGTATTTAAACGAGTCCGACGAACCTGTATACCTGTATATGCGAAAAGAAAAATCGCGACGCAAAATGTAATATCTCCATTAGTGTTGTTATAAAATTAACGAGAATGCTAAAGCGAGTTTTCCGTTTTTATTGTCGTATCGGAGAAATTTTAAAATTTAAACATTTTTTTCTTTTACCTCGAATACCGAGTATCGCGGATTCATGAGTGATGAAACATCGGCTTTTGAGATGCAAATGGACTGCGTACTGGATTAGAAATTATAAATATGTAGATCTTGTGTGTGTATTATCTATGAATAAAGCAAGACAAAGTATATGGAAATAGTGTAAGTTAAAAAAATTACGTTGGTAACGTATTGCAGCTGTTTAAATCTCGCAGAATGGATACTTTGTTTAATACCTACTCTAATTATGAAAGCGATCGTACGTAATTAATTTATGGGCAAATAACAATAATATCGGTATGGACGATGTGTAGACTTTTCTAACGAGTACATATCTATATTGTATATTCGAGTACACCCAGTGCTCCCTGTTATGATCGTGAATAACATAAATAAATCGGTAACAAGAAAGATCGTTATCTTTTGATTCCACCTGCTTAATTTTAGATTTTTTTTTCATAATCACTCACAATTAGAATTATCGAGTTCATCAGAGTCCGAGTTACATTTCTAGTCCGTAAAGAAAAAAAAAGATCGTCTGCAACATCAAATGTACTTTTCATTTATTTGACTACTTATCTTTACAGATTATTCTACCTTATGCTAAGATACAACTTTCCCATTATGTTATCTTCTAATCGAACATTACAATACTTCTAAGTATAAAATAAGCGATAGAGCTTATATATACTGGTATGTAGCAACGACTTAAGTACCTTTCTACCTAGTACTCCTTAAAAGTGGCGGGAATTAATCTGTTAACCGCGTATCCTCCTGTCAACGACGAGGTGCCCGTGATTACGGTTTCTTTTTTTTTGGCTTCGCCGAAAATCAATACGAGACAAGTGTGTCGAGAGACCCTCTTTCGACGGTGCGCCCGGTCCTACATCCTACATCCACCGATCGAGCGTCGAACCGCTCACGGACGCGCTCCTTAACACCGCCGGCAAAACAATTAGGCCACTAACTACATTTTTTGTTCGTGGAACACTATCGTTTGGTCGTATCCTCTCTCTTTTCCTCTCTCTCTCTCTTTAGCGCGCGCATCTCCATTTCATTTAAGTGACGAAAGATGTTCACCGAAAGGACGCCCGTAGTCGGTAGGAAGCTCGATCCTGATCGAGATGTAATCGCGCGGGTTTAAACGACGATCCGTAAAAATTGGAAGAGCTCGACCGTGATCCGCGCACGAAGTCAGCTCGAGTCGCGTCGGATCGAGGTAGGAAAAAGAAAAAAGGTACGAGTCAGTGCTTATAAAACATTGGTGCAAACGATGCTCGACGAGTCGATCCCCCTCCCTTTGAATCCGCGCGATCGAGGCTGCTCCAACTTTACGGCTACGTGTATATATTGACTTTCGTATGTAGATGTAAAAAAAAAAAAATTGATCACACGCGTCGACAAAAGCTTTTCGATTGGCTACGAGTCTCTCTCTCTCTCTCTCTTTCTCTCTCGTGAGACTCGAGACGTCGGATTCCGTTCACATTCCGTTAAGCTTCCCCGCTACATCCGTTACGTTTCTCTTACGCGAATTCTCTCCCGCGTCGCTCTTAAATGTTAACTTTGAGAGAACCAGGTCTTTTAAGTAGATATACGTGAGCCTAATAGGTAAGCGCTTGAGTGTCAGATCCGCGTGTTTTGCAGCGTTTTGTGTCGTGTTTTCCTGTCTCCTCTGTCTCGCCCGTGATTACGCTTATGAACATTACAGACGCGTCGATTAATCTATTAAGATGTAAGTACTCCTCTATATATACGGGCAGCTCGCGGCATGAATATGAATCGGATTAAAACTTTACACAGTTCCTTATTACGTTTCTTCCCCCTTCGTAATGTCGATAAGTAAAATTATCACTTAACACGCAAACATTAAGGGCCTTATCCGACGAATATACAAATCTAATGCTCCTATATAAGGTAGCCGTCAATATTTAAGTACGTTAATGTGTAGCCACAATCGTATAATAATAATAATATTAATAATAATGACGACAATAAATCGTAATCGTAATAATAATATAGGCAAACTCTTGTAGCGTTGTACTTAGCGTTATTTAAAATAGTAGCAATATTATTTTTTTTTTTTATGTACTGAATGTTCAAGTACGGACAGAAATCGATCTTGAGTTAACTTCCTTTATGTATATTAGCAATATGGAGGGAATTCACTAACAACTTGCTTAAAGAGTGCAGCACATTCTCACACATCTATAAACAAATATAAAAACTCTTTCTCTTATGCGACCTCTCGTCACCCCGATGCATTCTCATTCATTACGCTGCCAGTTCGCATTTACGGGACAACTGTGCGAAAATGCGTGCGTGAAATTACACGTCATATTACTCGCTACCACGCGTCGTCGAAATCTCATCCCCAATTTAAATTTTTTCTCGCACAATTCAACTACATCTCGCTTTAATTTGACTAATTTTTTGAACAAGGAGCGATTTATGCCAATTTCACCTTCCTTCTTCCAGCCCTATAGATATAGATGAACGAACGCATTTCCTAAATATGGCTAAAAGCAGAAAATGCAGATGGAATGTCGAATGCGCTTCTTTTTTTTTCGTCGTTTTCCCGTGTTTCTCACCGTAGCGAAAATAATGTGTCGACAGTGCGCCTATACATCGAGTACACACACGTAAACATTTACACGCGTGACACAGAAATTCGTTTCCATACGTAAGAAAATTATATATCGTTGAAAGCACCCAGACACAACCCTCAACCTTCGGCATATCACCCTCGTCCATCGTGTACGTCCCCCTTCGCGTCGTATCCTTCCTCTCCCATTCACGCCTCTTCACTCTTCCGCGCGCGAACAAAACGACACGAACGATCATGCAGAAGCACGCCCCATAACGAGTGGCAATACACCATTATTAACACGTTGCACACGTAACATTCTCCTATACATTTAAAAATTGTACGATTACCGACGATCAATTTTTACGACGGGGGGGTCGCCCCCGCCCGATCGTCCGGATGCACAGCAAGAATCGATATTAACGACCGGTAACGCTAACCGCTGATCTCGCAAGCCCAGGTTCGACTGAATCGCTAGAATCGACGGCACTATGCAGCTTTACTTTATACAACTACACGTAAACAGTACGGCATAACGTTTTAAAGTGTATCGATATCTAAAAATGCTGAGGATCGCAGGTGATTCCACGACAGCGATTCGACGGTAATTCTTGACTAGAACACGTATCGAGGTGCGGGGAAATCTACTCCTTGCCATCGTATCAAGCCAATCGAACAATGTCAATCGTAAAACTGTCGAAATTTGTTAAAATTACTAGGAATGTACGCTTTGAAGACTCGTAAAAAAACTACCCTCGCGTTATTGATTATCCCGAAGAGTTTCACCCTTCAGCTATTCCGACTGACTGAACGTATTTTGCTAGAATTGACGACATCGTCCGTTTTTAAGCGAAGCAAATGACAGATGCAAGTGCGAATTGCAATTATAATGCATTGTAGAATCACACAGCGTTCAATCATCGCGACGATCAACTGAAATCCGTAGTTCGCAACTTGAACCCTACATTTATGTTCTCTCACTTTCTTCTCGCGTTCCGCGATTCCTTCTAGTCCCCGCGCCCCTGCACTTCCCATTTCATTCTTTCGTACACGAGGGATCTTAAATTATGACGGCTGTCGTATGGCAATCACGGAAAATACCTGTCATCGTCATACGGCTACGAAGCAACAACGACAACAAAACGGTTTCCCCACATCCCTCTCTTGCCTCTCTCTCTCCTTAGGTAGATTAAGTAATTACTCGTTACACGTGATTAAAACCAAGTTGACGACAATATACACTACATCCGGAATACGTACGAACAACTGAAGGCTATACTTATGCGCGGCGTCCTGTGTCTACGACTAGCTCGTGTGAAATGTACACCAAGGCTCGAGAATGACAAATAGTACTCTGTAGTAACACTACAAGACTATCACACTGTTCTACGATGACGTACGAACGGAAATCAAGCTAGTGAACTCTATATCGCCTATGCGTGATCAAGCATCTTCTTTCCCATCGTTGTTGGATGTTAAGGTGTATACGTCTGCTTTTTTTTCCTCTTCATTCTCTCGCTCTCACATTTCACGCACTCTTTCTCTCTTTCTTTCTCGCTTTTCATCTCTCTCTCTCTCTCTCATTTCTCGTATCCTATTCTATCGTCACTCGAGTCATCCCAGGGATCACCCCGATCGACGCATTCACACACAATAACGTGATCCTCGACAGCTCGCGGAATGTTTAAGGATGAATTCGGGATGTTATACTTTAGCCTAAATAACTTGCTTTGCTGATTAATATACGTCGCGTGCGAAAATACTAAGAAATATCCTCGCAAAAAGTTAAGCTGGACGGCTTTGATAAAAATTAGGATTCTCTTTCGAAGGACGCGAACATCAGGGTGTAGAAAGTGTTGCGGCGGCGGCGGCGGCGGCGGCGGCGGCGGGCGGGGGGGTTGGGGGTGGGCGGGGGAATTTTGATACCGCGGCCGGGAGAATGACTAGCGATGTATCTTCACCGCGAAACATCTACCGGAGCATCATACCGCGGTACCCAGTGATATACGCAAGTGCGTTCGCGTGCGTGTACACAGTCCGAAACTGAACGTACAAGGTGCTTTAGCCAAAAAGTTTTCGACGTGAGCGACATTAAAATACGTCTGAGAAGAGTACGTTGCAAACCTCTCGCGATAATACACGCCTCCTCTCTCTCGCCTCCTCGCCCCCTTTAAATATATATATATTATATATACGGAATAAAGCGCGCGTGTATGCACGTGTGTATGTATATATGTATAACGTGAAGAATTATCATATCCGTATTTACAATTGGACATTTAAACGCTAGAGAAAGTGTCGTGGGCCAAATCCACGTGCAGTCCCAGGCATAAAAATAACGTATGTGTTCAGCTCCGCCGTCTCTCGTCGACGCGGTTTTCTCTCTTCGCGCCGGCGCGGGTCCGTCGACTTTTCTCCTCCCCTCGGTGTATATACTCGGTATGTACCCTCCTCCTTCTCTCCGCGCCGCGTGAGAGGAAATCGCGCGCGCGAACACTCGCGAACGTAGGTAGATCCGAGTCTTCGTTAATTGACTAGCGTTTCGAGCGGCACGTATAGTGTGTAGTTTTTCGCGCTTTTTTTTATATTTTATTTTCTTACAAGCGTTTCCTTGCGACGTGGGTTTGACGTTTCCACTCGGCAATTATACGCGGGATAAACGGCCGGAACTCTGATTGCATCTCGCCCTCCGTATCACGCTCCGCTCGATACCTCTCCTCCTCCTCCTCCTCCTCCTCCCACTTACGGAAGCACTGCACACGCAGCCACGAAAGCGAGTTTATTGCTGAACGTTTAAAAATTCGCAGTGCACCACATTCGTTTCATACAGCCGCCCATCGCACCTAAATCTGAAAAAACGATCGATAGAATGTATACTTTTGCGTACCATAAATTGCGACGAATCTAAGGAGATAGTCTGACGAGAAGCTGGCCCGTACAAATGTCGCGTAAATAGTATATGGGTTTTCTTCCCCGTTTCATTCGGCACACTCGGTTGAGCGATCCGAGGGAAGTCGGTAACAGACGAAGCGTCGTCTGTCCGAGAAATACGGTGTAAATTCGAAGTTGTCGGTGCTACTTGGAAAGTTAAGCGCAGAAGTTTATTCTATGGGGATGCGCCGTGCCTTCTTAGGCAAACAGGAAGTCGTAATTTCAGTAACGCTGCTGGAACTCGTGATGCCATCTGTTAAAGTCGATGTGGAATATCACAATGGACCCATTTGCCAGACCAGCTAGAAGAAACCTGTAAAGAACGGAACATATTTATCCTCCTCGTGTCAAAAGAGATAATTTTTTTTTAAATGAATTCTCGTGAAATTATACGACCAATTGCATCGTCGCGCTAAAGACTAAGAAAGTTTTAACAACAAATTCATGTAGATCTTCAGATTTCATTACTTACTTTTGATCATGAGCAAGCGCGAGAGAACGCACGCTGCTTTCGCATGCGGGAAATGCATAAAGTAGAGCGAGGTTGAAAGTTCGCCAAACTTCTACGATACCCTTGTCACCTCCAGTCATCAAGTATTCACCGTCTCTACTCAGCAGTAAGCACTGGAAATAAATAACGGTGTTAGCATACGATATAAATTATTAAAAAATTAATTATATAAACAATATTAATTTGAACTAATCCGCGTAAGTGAATATCACAAATAAATTTGAAAGCGCCTTTTACGGCTGGATCTTAGTGTCTAATAAATTTTGTATGAATTTTTAAATCCATTCATATTCAATTATTAAATCCATTTAAACTGAATCAATGTCGGACTTGCAACGCAATCACTGGCTGAAGTTGAAATAGTGAGATGACAATTGATTTTCAAATTTTAATAATTACACGCGACTAAGCGTAAAATTAAAATACTGAGAACAAAAAATTAATTATTGAATCGCGGTAAGCTACCTGTAAATTATCATTGTGAGACTCGTGACGAAGACGTTTTCCGTTTATGGTGAAGGCTGCTATGTGCCCACGTTCGTAGTTTACCACGATAACGCCCTCGCGTGACATAGCGATGTTCTCGGGGGATGAAAATCCGTTCGGCGCCTCGAGCGACCTCAGGAGATCGCCAAAAGTGGTGTGGACGAGTACCGGGCCGTCTGTAATAAAATATAAACATCAAATTATTCGCAATGTTAAAGATGAACCAAATTATCTCAAGATCAGGCGACACATCAATTATGAGCTCGGGAGAGGTATGTCTATAATTGTTACACCGTAATTATAGAACAAGGTATTTTTTAATATTTTATCCTAGCTATTTCACTCTTTTTTTCAACTTGTAATACGTACAATGCGATCCCGAGACAACCAAACCCAATTCGGCGGATATGACGACGGCCGTCACAGGCTGCTCGTGGCCCGTAAGGGTGGCACGTGGCGCCGGTGCTTCACCCTCACCGACGATAGTCTGTGTCCTTGCGTTCCAATGCCAGAGAAGAACGGTGCAGTCGGCACTTCCGGACGCGATGTAGCAGTCGGAAGTAATATTGCACTCGCTGCGCGACAGGCAAGTGACGACTCCGTAATGACCGAACACTATCTGCACGATTTTTGCTACAAAAATGATAATTCCTTCCCTTGTAGAACTTCAATCATGTGGAGAAGCACGTAAGCCAACAATTGCTTATCTCTCTATTTATTCGTATTGTAATGCGATCAATTCTGAGACGTCAAGACTCACCTGTCTCGGTGGAAAAGACGCGGAAGCTATTGTCCCAAAATCCACAGGCCACCAAAAATCGGCTGTCCACAGTGGTAACAAAGCAATTACTGCGAATCTTGAGCTTCTGGCTAAAATTGTCGCCTAGATGTCGACGTTGTAACGTTGGATTCGAGCTATTTGCCGCTTGAGCTAAAAATACACCATACAGCGTTGTTAATCAGTACGCGCATCTCAAAGACATCATTTTGAAAATGTAACTTTTTTTGCAATAAGTGAAATCAACCGATACATGAATACACTAACAATAAGATAAGTCTGTTCGCGATCAAGAAGGATCGTAGTCTATTAATATTTTTGCGTGAATTTAAATGAATATAAATTATTTTATCTTTACAATAATAAATAAAGTCGACCGATATATGTGAATACACAACTAACAATAAGATACTTATTCCAAGATTAAGGCGAATCTTGATGCTCAATAATATGCGCAAATTTAAACAAGTGTATATAAATTCGCGCAAAAATTATTAGGCACCAAGATCCATTTTAGTCGAAAATAAGCTTATTTTATTCTTAGTTATTTATCTGTACATGTGTGTATACTTACAAAGAACAGGATCCATAGACAATGGTTGATTGGCAGCCTGCGCCTGAGGTGTGTCTGCATAACTCGGAGATTGCACGGAGGCTACAAAAAGGTTTAAAATTGCAATAACAAGGCGATAAGGATAAATTCAAGAGTGTCGGGAGTGCGTGTAGAAAATTACTCTACCTGCGTAATTGGTATTCCACCGATTAACAGCGAACTGCTGTCCGGTGGTTACCGTCACAACCGATGGCAGTGGCAGTTGTGGATAAGTGTTGGCCGAGATGTGACAGATCGGCGAGTTAGACGGGAACTTGATGGTCATGCACACGTCGTCCGGAATGCTCGAGAACATCATTGGCGACTGGAAAAAGAAAAGTACATTCTCAGGACTTCTTAAGAAGACCGTCTTTCTGAAGACTGCATGTGAAACTGCTTTTCCATGTGTGTTACACGCTGAGATAATCTCTCACCAAATGCATCGCCGAGCTCCTCGGAGGATGCGGTTCCATTAAGAGCTGCGACGGCGTCTGCCCGAAGTTCTTAATTTGATTCTCTATCGCTTCCCTCATCATGGGATCGGTGATCGTGTCCAGTTCCACGCTACCCTCGTACGTTAAATAGTAGAAAACGTTGGTTGCACGTACAGCTTCCGGGCCTGTGCGAGAAACAAAGTGACCGATGTGTATTATACGAAGCATCTTTAACGCGTCTCTCTTTTCTCTCTCTCTCTCTCTCTCTCTCTCTCTCTCTCTGTGTGTTAATTTTACGATCCTGTTTCGCGCGTTGTCGCCACGCAGCGCGACATAATGCACTCCCCGCGAACGATCCGCTTCGAGAGCGCTCACGACGAGATCGCTCGCGCTCTCGGTATTTCCGGTTGACTCCACTTTCGTGCCACCGGCTGGCTATACCGTAAACGTGTTGCATATTACGGGTGGGACGCATTGTCGCGCTCGGCACACGTGCCTAATTGGTCGGGACAGGGACCGAGGGAGAGAGAAAGGAAGCTAACTAAAAAACTAATTCCTTCCATACGCGCGCTCCCGTATATACGCCCCAGTCGACGTTCCCCTCCGCTGCCGCGTCGTCCGATGCCGAGGCAGCATCTTCGGGGAAGCGCCGGATATAGAGGCGCCATCGGCAATTAACGTCGGTGGAAATCTAATTTGACTCGACTGCGCCTCCGTCCCGACACCCAAGGTGCAACCTTGGGGCGCTCGCGAGCGGCGCCTGCCATTGTGCGAACATTTATTAATTCAATTCACGGGTTATCGCCCGAACCTGACGCCACGAACGATTTCGCGATCGGTGTGGACACATCTTAATAAGGCCTTATCATTTTAGATAGTAAAATAGAGATTTTATTTTTTCACGATACTGAGAAAACGCGAATAAAGATATATACCAAATCCCTTTAATAATTGCAATTCACGAAAGAAATTCTATCTATAAATTATCTATTTTACCTATAAACTGCTCTTACCTTTCTGTTTATAACCGAATATCAGATCGATCCATTGATGTAATTGACAAGACACAAATTCGGACTCGAGTGCCTGAGAAAATACAATTTAATAAATGTATCGTAAAACATATATGTATGTATTTTTTTTTATAAAGATATTAGTTAGATTTTTAATATTAGTACTTGTAATTTTTAAAGCTTATATTAATTCATATTTCAATGAAGTTAATCCCGTACCATTCGATTTATACGTATAAACTCTTCGGGAGACGAAGCCCAAGGTGGTAATTCAACATCGCCGACCGAGCTGCCGTCTTCCTGCCTGCCTAAACGATAGCGGTTACTGTTCACTAACATTTCCGGTAGGAAGAAGAATTCCGGAATCAGCTCCTGCTCATGAAAAGACGAATTTATGTACCTCCTCGGTATTATATCAAAGTGGCGTACGCAATCGAAAATTTATGCGGCGACGATAACAATGGATGTTCACATTGTTCACCGAGGCGTGGCGGGAAATGTAAATTTTACGAGTATCTTAATTAAATGCAACGGACCTTGACGTCGGATGTATCGCGTTGGCAATTCTTCCACGAGAGCGCGATAGATGAAAACAGTCGGTTAGGGTGATCGAACTTGCCGCCTTGCAACGCCAAGAACATAGTCGTCATCGGTTCCTGTAAGAAGAATAATTTTATTTGTACAATCAGTTGAGCGCGAGAGCCCTCTCGAGCGTTTTGCAACGGGAGCGCATAGATCCCGTATAGAATGTCAATAAAGGATGAGAGACGTGGAAACGAGAGTGCGTGAGCTGGGGCGGAGAAAATGCGCGCGGCACGACTCTAAACCGCCACTTAGAGACACTTTATAGACGGTCCTTTGTGCGCGCGGTTTCTTGCGAGGTCTCCCTTCTCGTTTCTCGATCAGTCATCCGTCCCCGTTGACAGGCGAATGAACGCAAAGCGAGAGGCCACACACGTAATCGATGCACTTTCGTGCCGCACGGCACGTACGCGAGCGTTACGCGAGCACGTGGACCCGATTTTTGCATTTTACTGGAGACGCGATTCTCGCTACACGTATCAAAACCAAACGGGTTAAAACTATTCCTTTGTTCCTTTTATGGCCGGGGATAATGCTATAAACGGATCGTTAACGTATATCTTCGGCGGACGAAGCGTCGTCGGTAGGTAGCAGCACAACGATTATAGACCAATAAATTGTTTATGATGCAATATTTTATCGCACAAGTGTGTTGCATAGCGAATAAACAATTAAATGCCGTTACGCTGTTTTTTTAATTTTTAAATATGTCCGCCAAACACGGATTTAGATTCGTTAAGTGTTCTTTAAGGCCGATTACACAAATAATGATGAGACCGTAGAAATTATTGCAAAGATTAACAAACTGACGGTAAATAGAAGTTCCATCAACAATAATTGACGAAGAATAGCATTAGGAAATTTGTGTGCAGCGAGATAAAATTTCTATACAAACTATATCAACTGCTTCAGCTTCTCTGAAAAGGATTAATGGAAGAAAAAGAGAGATAAAGACGTTTTCCAGTTAGGCTCTGAGAATTTCAAGTGAACGAGGAAATGCAGCAGAAAACAAATGTGTATATTTAACGAGAAGGCGGGCGTCGTTGGCACGAGGGCGTTCCGACGCCCTCAAATTAGCGTGCACGCAGTACTAAAAGTGTCGCTTAAATTTATGGTGCAGACTGGACACGCTCCGTAAGTGGAAAGACCAAAAATCAGCGATCGGAAGCTAATTATACGCCCATTATATGGGTAAAGACCCGATCCCGGCGCGTATTCTGCGTTAAATTTCGATTTAATCACGACGGAGGAAATGACGGCTAATTAATATTTTTATTTAACGAGTGCTTTTGTCATGCAAATAAATGCTAATCAATCAATTCTTCTGTTTCTATTGTATTTAGATAATGCTCGTTGTGTTAAGATTTACTAACTGCGTTTTCTCTACAGCTGTAAATGAATAAAACGTAGTCGAATATCGAAGTTAAATATCAAGCGTGTTATTTTCGCAAAGTAATGAGAGACTTACCACGCGTATCATCCAATTTAAAACAAAGGCCGCCGTAGAGTAATGCGTGCCGTAATGGAAGGGCGGTATAGTGTCGTGTTCCCAGCTCTGGAAGCGCTCCTCGAAATAAGCTCTTCTGTTTGGATTCAGTGCGCCAATCGGCTGTGAAATATTGTTAAAATATCGTTACAAGAGAGTACTATTTTGTGTTGATTGTCTTGTTGCCACATGCAAATTCGCTAAGTCCATACCTTGGACAAATCTCGATAATTGCTTGGTAAACTGAGATCGAGCTCCTTCGTTTCGTAGTTCGTCAAGACCCAAGGGAATACAGGATATTGATTCAAGTCGTTGTACGTGCGGCCTGTAACAATACAAATTCACTTCCTTCAAAACCAAGAACGTGAATTTATTTCTTTGTTGATCAATTCATTATATTCCGCATCGTTAATAAATACCGATGCAAGAACGCAGGAGTCTGTTAAATTATGGCCACGTATGGTACTTCCTTTTCTCGCATGACTTAAATCATCGCTCGGTATCCCGGACAACAACAACAAAAAAAAAGGACGAGGAAGTCAGGACGAGTGTGGTAAGTGCTTAAATTAAATTCCTCATACGTATACCGCGCCGAGAATAGGTCAGGAAGAGATCGCGCGGTTTGGTTTTTAATGCGGATAATCGCCGGCCCCATCTTTTTTCCTCGCCCTGACCCTGCGTCTCACGGTCACTCTCCTGTCCTATCCGTCTCGCACCCCCGCTGTTTCGTAGCTAAGGGCGACGAAAGCGGCCACGAGACCGCGCCGGGGCTCGTGATTCTATTTTTACGAAAAACGCGCGCCGCGCGGCTCAATGGGGCGCGGCGCGCCGTTTAGTAAGCGCATAACTCAGAGCGTGACGGCTAATCGCTCCTGAAATTGTCACTCCCAGAGGTCTTACTCGTCCTCGTTCCCCCTCCCCCCTCCTTCCCCTTTCCAAGCCGCCGCGGAATCCCATCCCGAAATGCATTAGTGACGGCAGCGCGCGGTCCCAAGGCTGAGTTCTAATCTCTTTCCCTGTCGCTAATTAAAGCACGTCAGCGAGTTTGTCACTCGGCGCCCTCGTGACGGATACACGTGTGTCACCGTCCTCCCTCGCTCCGCTCACTTCGCTTTCTTTTGCGGCCCTATTCGACGGCGCACAGCACGCGAAATGTTTCCCACTCGCGCGATAATCGCGCAAACGGAAGCGATTAGATAGTTAAACGCAGCCGAAGCAATCGACCTGCGCTAAATCTGCAAGTGCAACGCGTCGTTTAACAAACGTAACGCAAGATAGCGGTATGTACAATATAGGGTAGAAGTTTTAAACCGGTACGCGATTTTGGTATTTAAAAATATATTTATAACTGCTCGTTATCACTTTGACTACCATTGTTATCTCATATCTAGGTAACGCAGTCAGTTTCCGCAAAAAAATAACATATTAAAATAATACACTAAATTTATTTTTAAAAATTATTAATTTAATTTAATTTTTTTTGGTTCATGTTTATTTTTTTAATTGCACTTAAACATCACAGACGCGTATTTCGCGTGCACTATTTGTCTTTTAATTCTTTAATTTTGACTATAAAACCCTAAAATATATACAAATAAATTGTATTACATTATTAACCTCTCGATACATCGCACAACTGTCAAAATATGCGACAGCCGCTCACGAAGTTGGCGCAATGAGAGCATCAATCAACATCGCGGAAAAGAGCTGACAATATTTCGAGATTTTCGAGAAGATTTTGATGTATTTAAATATCAATTTAACATGCCTTTTTTAGATTTACAGAAATTAGGAAAACATGATCTATTATTTCGATTTGCGAGTCTAGTTTTATTTATTCTCTCTAAAATTATATTATTAAATATGTGATAATATAAAAGATATATAAACTTTTACATTTATTTATTTTTATAATACAGTGTATTTTGTAATCGAACTATCCATGTTTTATAAACACAGTAACTCATTTCTCAACTTTGAGCCTCTTAGAACTAGATGCCGAAATCAACTTGGAAGTCAAAATGTTAATTAACACCGTTAATTCACGCATACATCCGTCCCTTATTAGAACGCATTTCGAGACATCGACGCGGTCGTTTGTTATCGGGCTAAGCCGTGAACTGACAGAAGCTGCTATGCTAAGACAGTCTCCAAGAAGTTCGCCGAATACTTAATTCCCTCGACGAAAAAAGGCGATGCAACGGCAAAGTCGGTACCGCGCGCCGGTCGCTGCGTATATATGTAAGTCCCACCGTGGCTACAATACGACCGTAAATCGTGGGCGCCGCGCGAGCGACGGCCGTGCGTAAATAATAGCGAGGCCGCGTTATGCATCAAAGTGATTATTAATGGTAGCGTCGGCGTGAGTGAACGCTCGGGGAACGCGCCTCGACAGCGGAATGTCCGCGACACAAACGCATACACGTATAATCCCTCCGTATATCCGCCCGCGCTTCTCCCGTCTCAGGAACATCAGGCCTTACCCTCGCTTTCTCCCCTCCGTACTTGTTCCTGCCCGTTCCGCGAAAAAATGCGAACGATATTTAGAAAAAAAAAAAAAAAAAGTTTACAGATCGTAAAATAATTCATGACGTAGAACGAGAGCATCGCCGGAGATGAGAGTCGAAGGAACGCGCGTGCGAAGTACTACACCGTAAATCCGGTTTCGTGAAATTTAACGTAATGCATAATTTAACGGTAATTGAGAGGAGTCGTAAAATTAGGACGTCGAGTATTTATTCCGGCTGGAGTAAACGATGTTTACACCGCGTTTTATGCGCTCGTGATTATAGACGTTTGCGTACGAATGAATCGGCCGGTCGGCCGGCCGCGCCGCAGCCCGGTCGGTCGCTTTATCGCGCTGTCGCTGCGTCCTCGGCAATAATTCACCGCGAAGCAGGACCAGGGGCCTAGATACGATCGAAAACGAAGGCGACGACCTGTTGGCAACTACCTGGGATGAAAGGTCCGTAAGTTTCGGCGTATATAAAACAAGCTCGGCATACATCTCGAGAAATAAATGCGACAGATATATGGAGAGACTCGTACATACATCAATACCCCTTTGTGCGTGTGTACATGTCGTCGTACGCTACTTTATACCCCGCGTTATATTTATGCTACACATTTTTTACTCGTTTCAATAAATATTTGATTAGCGAGCCTTGTGTGTGTTTTTTCTTTTTCGTTAAGCACAAACAGTTAATACGCGAGATACGATTGCAGAGTATGTAAACAGATTTAAAATATCGCGATATCCGCGGGATGTGACCAAAGCAATTATATCGAGAAGAGTTAAGATCAGATTGCGACCGGCGCGCTGCAGGCTACGTCCACCGCTATACGCACACATTTTGCACAGGGTGGTCCATATATAAAGTGCTACAAATTGTCTTTTCGCAGGAAACAATTTGAGGACAGCGACAAAATGTAACTATGGATGCGAATGTGGAAGAAATGTGAATATCCGATATTCTCTCTCAAGAAACTCGCGGCGTTCATCCCGGGAAGCATTTAATCGATCGTCGCCGTCTCGGAGAGGATCGCTCTTCGCGATTCGCCCTGTACACGCCGCCGCCGCCGCCGCCGCGGCCGGCGCGGGGGCTATCGTATTTACATCGGATTCGCTGTCATTAATTTTTAATAAACCGACGCAGGGGGAGCAAAATAAAACCCCGCGACCGATCGTATGCGGGAGCGCGCGGATCGGCGCGGCGCGGCATGGCGCGGCGCGGCGTGGCGCGGCGTGGCGCAGCGCGGTGCGGACCGGTTCGTTTTCGTATCGATTCTCTTTCTCTCTTTCTCTCTCTCTCTCTGCGCCGCCGATTCCATCGGCTCTCGGACGTTACGGGCAGAGCGCGGTACCCACGGCTATTTATTCGAGCAATTAATATATAACCCTCGTAAATACGCGGCCGCGCGGCCACCCCCGGGCGCCACGTCGCGGCCGGACCGCGCCGAAATGCGAATAATTACGCGTCCGTGCTCATCGCCGTCATTAAGCCGGACCCGAACCGAGCGCGCGGGCGTGGGTGCGCATAAATCCCGCGCTCGGGCGGTATAACTTACGGCCGCGAGCTCGTGCAAGCGCCTAACCGACTCTCGTTTACAAGAATCGCGGCCGATTCGCTGGTTAATATCGCCGCAACTACGACCGGCCGCGGCGTACCGCCCGCAACACTATCGTGCGCGCCGACGATTATCATCGAAAGAGAGAAAGAGAGAAAGAGAGAGAGAGAGAGCTTCGCCCTGGGGAGAGAAGGGCAGCGAGAGAGATCGATCACTCTCTCGGGGAAGTCGATGAACCTCGCGGCAAGTGAGGAGAATCGTTTGATGATACGTTTGTTTCTTCTAGGCTTCCTGTGCGTGTAATATAGAAGACAAATGGTGCACGTTGAATCCTCTCTTCCGTGAAATTGAAGATAAATCGTTCTATCGGTGCGCACGGTAATAAAAGCACAATGAGCGAAAAACACGCTTTGCGTGTAAGTATCATTAAATCTCGCGTAAATGTTGTCCGAGAGGAGAGAATGCGCTTCGATGAAAAGGCCAGAGAGAAGGTGATCGAGGGATACGATGCGCCCAGGACTATAAGTCCGTACCGTGTCGCGTCGAGAGGCGTCCGAACTGTCTCGTTAAAAAGCGCACGAGGCCGACCGACGGCGCGGCGTCTCGAGTTTCGTGATTTGGTCCGATGAACGCGCGAGGGAGCCGATATTAAACCGAAGAGAAACAAAGACGCGCCACCATTTCGCCCTCAGCGATGCCGAGGCGGCGCGGCGGAATGGGTGGTGCGGCGAGTCCCTCGGGAGAGGATTACCGGGGTCCACAAGGTTGGGATTACTCGCATGGGGTAGCTAACGGAACACAGGGCTGATTGAGAACATCCCTAATGCGCCACGACAGACTCCATCCGCCCGTGTGCACCCATAAAAAAAGCCCGGGCGTCTTCGCTTGGTGCTTCTCTCCGGGGCTCCTTTCTCCGATCGATACCCGCGCGGAATCGACCGATCACCGGTCGATCTCGATCGCGTTTCACATTTGATCTAAGGCAAAGGTACTTACCGGCAATTGTGTTCAGGAACATCAGATATTCAAAATTGGATATTTCCCGACGCTGCCACTTTTGAGTCATATTGGAGCTTCTCATCAACTGTCGCGGTGACATCAAGGACGCCCGTCTGTAAAATCAATGAAATTTACCGATTGCAGCATCCACATTCATATCTAAAATATACGGCCTTGACCATAAGCATAAAGCACTCCCACAAATTGACGTAAACATTTTATGTAATAAAAGATAAATAAAAAAACAGTTTTGTTAAAAATTAATATTTAATTTTATAATAATTTTACTTTTTGTTAGTCTTTCTTTAGCTTTTATTATCACCTTTTTCAAGAAAATGTAATAAATTGAGGACGTTTTGTATTTACAGCCAAGGTTATATTAAAATAAATATATCCTATATATAACTAGAGAAAAACAAAATTACGCAACTTTCTAACTTCGACTTCATGACATTGCATGAAGTCGTTCTTCAATTAATTTACTCTAATTATTTTAGTTATTTGACGCGAATCGAAGTAATAGTTGCAATTGTCTGATCGATTTTTAACTTGTTTGCATGACGGTGACTACAACATTTTTCAGTTGTCAACGGTATATGTTAAACGACTTCATGTGTCAATAAAATAAAATTTCACCTCAATCTATTTTTATCACGTGGAGTTTAAAACGTCCATATCTCTGCTCATTAAACCAAAATTTTAATGAAGGATTGTCTGAACGTATGAAAATAAGAGCATATCTATATATATGCTTAGACATATTACAAAATGCATATCGAAGTTACACGTGTCAACAATAAAGTATCCATAAACGAAAATTCCAAATCCGGACACACTTGTGGTGTTCGCCGCCAAAATTGCGTGCCAGATCGCGAGACGTGTCACTCCTCGGCATCGCGCAGCGCGCTTTAATTGCCAAACGAGCGGGTTTCTGATACGCAATTAAGGCGGCGGTCGGGCCCAATTCACAAGAGCAATTACGTCGCAAAGACGCGCGCTCGCCGGCGCTTTGCGTTCGCGCCATAAAGCCCGTACGCGCGCGTACGACTTTTACGAACGCGAAGTTCGCTGATTTAGGATTTATACGGGTGACTTTAACGGGGCGTGTGAGGCGTCCTTCAGACGTTATAAAAGGGAGGGCACACGACGACGACGACCGGACGTATAAATTCAATCCTTGGATTCATCTCGCGTAAATTTCATCCGAGCATGAAAACTTCCCGTGCGATCGGCGCGGCGACCGGCAAAAGTGCCGACTGCATTTCTCGAAGTATAAATGTCGTGGCGTAATCACTCTTTCACGTGGAAACTTATAGAAATGCATTGTTTGTCAGATTCGTCCATGATTTATGTATATGTATATATCGTTAAAATAAATGTGCGCGATGTCTAATACGACACATATGGAGATACGACTGTCACGTATATACATACATAAATAAATCACGCGCGCGATCAGAACTCGATTTTAAAACTACATCCCCATTCGCGTTACCAGCAGAGTAGATTTACAGCTAGGTCAAGTATAGATAAATTAACGTGTAATTGATATGTTAAAAAATAAACGATGTAATTGCGTGCCCGCTTGCGAGACTTGTCACTTCTCGATATCGCGCAGCGCACTTTAATTGTCAAATCAAATGAGCAACGCATACGGTTTTGATATGTAATTAATTATTATCGACTTATAGACATGTTTTATTTTAAAAAATAAAATTCTACAAATGCGCGCTCGAGTCTTATGAAAGTTATATCCTTGATATCTCAGCCACTGCGTAAAATTTTTTGTGAATATACAAAATAATTTACTCTCTAATTAATATTGACATGAGAGTGAGAAATAACTATATTAAACAAAATTATTTATGATAGCATATCAACAGTTACACTTTTTTTACCTAATGTTCGAAGATTCTGCGGAACTATTACATAATCCGATTTTGAATCTTATAAATATATTATAATCTTATACATATGTAATAATAAATAATTTATCAAGTTTATATTATGGAAGTATAATGACTTACTATAGAATGCATTAATTTTGTTGAAGACATTACAGATCAAATTTTAACGAAAGTTATATTCTTTTTGATGAATCAAAAGAAATCAACATTTTCCATTCAAATAAGATTATATCGCTAATATTGATTATATCTAATTTGACGTATAAGACAAGTATTTACGGTATCTAAAAGAACGAAAGTATGGCAATAAGAGAGTGAGCGTAGGAAAGACAGCAAGAGCGCAAAATTCGTCCCTGCATGAAGTTCCATGTCTCTCTCGTATTGTGATGTCGTAAGGACCAAAAAGAGAGATTCTCGCAAGATACGAAGTCTCCCATAGGCCGGCAGGAATTGGCGGCAAGAACAGAGGTTCGCGTATCCGCGCTTCGACCCATCCATTAGAACGTTCCTATATACACGAGATAGCCGGCGAGAAGGATACATCGGCCATAAATATACGACGGCGAACTCTGACGTTTTCTCTCCGACTGATCTGAGGAGAGAGAGAATTCTTGGCTAGCCGAAATAATTCGTCGGTATATAAAACGCGAATCAGTCGTGAATCGTGACGTATGAGGAAACATATTCATTGATGAGAAAAGTTTCTTAGTTAAATTTAATTAGCGTTAAATTTACGTTCCTTAGTTAAAGTTTAATTAGCGCGCTGCGTATTATTTAACTTCCTGAAGAAATTTACAATTATTGTGCAATTAAATTTTAATAAATTGCATTTTGATATAATCTTAATGAATTTGTGTAACGTGTGTTTCGTAGTTCTAATTGAGGCATTCATATTAAAAATTTTAACGTTGGAAAATGTTGATTTCTTTTGATTCATCAAAAAGAATATAACTTTCGTTAAAATTTGATATGATCTGTAATGTCTTCAACAAAATTAATGCATTCTATAGTAAGTCATTATACTTCCATAATATGAACTTGATAAATTATTTATTATTACATACGTATAAGATTACAATGTATTTATAAGATTCGAAATCGGATTATGTAATAGTTCCGCAGAATCATCAAACATTATGTAAAAAAAAGTGTAACTGTTGACATGCTATCATAAATAATTTTGTTTAATATAGCTATCTCTCACTCTCATGTCAATATTAATTAGAGAACAAATTATTTTATATATTCACAAAAAATTTTACGCAGTGGCTGAGATATCAAGGATATAATTTTCATAAGACTCGAGCGCGCATTTGTAAAACTTTATTTTTTAAAACATGTCTATAAGTCGATAATAATTAATTACGTATCAAAACCCGTATGCGTTGCTCGTTTGATTTGACAATTAAAGTGCGCTGCGCGATGTCGAGAAGTGACACATCTCGCAAGCGGACACGCAATTACACCGTTTATTTTTTAGCATATCAATTACGTTAATTTATCTATACCTATACTGACTTTGCCGTAAATATTGCCGTATATCTACTCCGCTGGTAACGCGAATGGGGATTGGAAATGATAAATATCTTTTAGAAAGATGCGCTTCGAATCCGTCCCTGGGTCGCCTTACCGAAAGGGACAAAGAAACGAGGGAATGCGACGAGCATGTTTGAAAGTAGATTCCGAGATCCTTGGATCTTTCCGTGGAACGACAGAAGCGCTTCCTTCCTCGAGGCGGTTATCGCTTACCTAGTCTGGGGTATCCCGTACTTGATGCCGACGCCGACCCGCGGTAGTGCCTTGATCATCTTTTTCACCGTCGCCTGATCCAAGAACGCGAACAGGATCGAGGCTGTGGACAAAAAGGTGTTAAAGTGTGAATTATAAGCGAGTCCGGTTTCGAGGACGCGTCGACGCGCGACGTCAATCATTCGGGCGACGAACGAGAGAAAGAGAGACGGAGAACACGTTTCTATTTTAGAAATTTAATTCTTCAATTTTTCACACGTGTATATAAATACAAAAATATCGATAAGAATTACAATTTGATGAAGACATTGTGGCAAAGATAAAGCGCTACTATTTACTTTTAAATGCCGCGAAAGTACTACTACTTTAATCATACGGTTATGCTAATATCATTAAGATATCAGATTGATAAATTAATAAAGTATAACTGTACCCAATTTATTATACAATGGCCAGGCTTGTAATAAATTTGTTTGACTTTAAAATCGATTAGCCTGTCCCCGCGGAATAATAGAAAGCGAGAGAAGACCCAATCGTTCCGAGTGCGTTTCCCCTGAGAGTTCAAAGGGTAGCGTGCGAGGAGATGGTTACCATAAATACTTCCTAGTAATTTACCGAACTGTCTGTACACGAAAGCAAAATATGCTCGTTTTAATCTTGATTAAGAGAGAAGAAAACTTCAATCGTTTTACTCCTGCACTCATAAAATATGACTCCTATATGAGTAAAATATAGCCGAACGTACTTAGATATGCGTATGTTTTAAATTCGATTCTTTTTTTTTTCTAAACAAATAATCGGAGTATTCCCATAATTTCAATAAATATCGTATAAATATCTTTTCAAGCAATGTAAATCGACGTTCTACATCATAATATTTATTACTTCAATAGTTCTTACTTCAATTAGCACTTCAATAGTTTTACTCCTGCACTCATAAAATACGAATGAGACTCCTATAAATAAAATATAGCCGAACGTACTTATATATGTATTATGTTTTAAATTCGATTCCTTTTTTTTCTAAACAAATAATCGGCGTATTCCCATAGTTTTAATGAACATCGTATAAATATTTCCAAGTAATGTAAATCGACGTTCTTGAATGTGCACGCATTCAACTTCTGTAGCATAATATTTATTGCGCACATATTCTGCAATACATTACACATTCTGTATAACGCAATATTTATTACGCATGCGATAGTACACGTTTTCTACAGCTGTACCGCGTTTTTCCTTGGATTCATGCTGGTACGCGCGTATACAGCTATAATCTTCTACTTATTAATGTTCGCACGCCGCTAACGGGTGCAAGCAGATGCTCCTGCAATCACATTCGTCGCAGAAGCCGCCCTTATCCGCGGCGCGCGGCATTCGCAATGTCCGATGTCGCGTAAATTACGCGAACGGGTATAAGGTAGCGTGTGGAGAGGCGGTAATCGTAAGAGCCGAACTTGTATATACAGGACTGACATGGCAACTATCTTCGATAACGACGTGAGGTTCCCTCACGTAATTTCGGATGCCCAGTAACGTAAAGCATGCGGTGCCCGATGTGACCGAAAGTTACACCGCGGCCCCGTTATAAAGTAACTCATTCCACGGTTTTTATTGTTCAGCGATTTATCGCGAGAGGACGACGCGATCCGTGCGTGTTCTCCGGCGTTTTTCGGTTAACGAACGCGCGTTTCCAGTGATTTTTTTAATGAACGACGAAGGCACCTCGCAGGGATGACATTCCACCGCTAACGTCTCCGCCGAGAGACGCGACGCATCGAAAGTCAGGATCAGATTAGAATCGGGGAACGCCTGGGAATTTATCTGCGCCCCGGAGAAATAATCAGCGGGATGGTGGACCCGAGGCAGGTAGGTATAAATAATTCTCTCGCGCGGTTTGTTACAAGATACGGCAATCCGCCTCGGATGAACGAGGGACGAACAATTGTTAATGAAAACAATCGTCATTATTGATAATTACGCGTTCGCGACGAATTCATTAATATATAAAATTTCGACGTTGATTGCTTAATATTAAATTAATGCGAAATCGATATGATTTTAATTAATGCAACGGTTTTACATTAATAAAAACTGAAGGAAGACGGCGAGTACGAGTCTCAACGCGGTAAATAATGCGCAATAATAATTCAATACAATTGATTAAGAAAATGAAAACATGTAATTAATGAATTTGTACACTTCGGCTCATTTTTTTCAGTCATCTTCAGCAAAGAGATTACAGTATGAAACGATAGCTGTTTCTTACTGTAAACCGTGAAGGGTAGATAAGAAACATCAATTTCTATAACATACTGTAATCTCTTTAACTGACGATGGCTTAAAAAAAGAGCCAAAATGTACAAATTTATTAATTGTTTTCATCGTAATCAATTGTATTGAATTATTATTGTGCATTATTTATCGCGCTGACTCATATTTTTTGCCGTCTTTCTTCAGTTTTTTTTTTTAAATTTTGCGAGTCCTATCACATATTTTGGTTTTACATTAATTCTCGATTAAAAATGGCACTATTTGCGGTAATGCGAAGCTATCGAAGTTAAGTTACAATTGCGCCGCGACGCTGCGGGATGAAGCAACAGCAGCAGGTGCAGCGCCCGCGGGATTGAATAATAAAATGATTTTAGAAAGAGACATACCGTAATGCGGGCAAGATATTTATTATGTAAAAACGAAAGAGAGCGCGCTCGCAACACCTTGCAGCGAGTTCGGGATTCCGTTCGCCGGGATTAGATCGCGTCCTCGTCGCGCGAAATAACGCGAGAGGGACTCGGAGGGAGTCGACAAGAAACGGAATGCGCTCTCGTCCGAAAGCGGCGCGCTGAGGACGAACAAAACGAGAGGAATTGCCCTGGTACTTACTTCTGCTGGCGAGGAAAATCTCGATGGCCACGTTTTGCAGCAGGTATCGCCGCGAGAAGATCGCGCGGACCTCGGAAAAGTACCATTTTCCGTGTAAATGGTCGCAGTACTTCAGCACCTGAAACAGAAATTGGAAACGCACGTTTCTTTTATTAATCTGAATTTAAAAATATCAAAATATAATAAATCAAATAACATTTATTCATAATATCATCTATATTACTTTGTACAATATGATTTCATCCGTTTATAATTATGAAATTATGAAGGAGAGTCAACTTACATATTTCAAAAGATGTCCTTCGGTCTTAGACTATTACTTATCTTATCTAATATCTACCATTATTTCTATATAAGTTGCTATAAATTAAAAAAATATTTAAACCTCCTCGTAATTATTGATCGCAAAGGGTGACAGGAGTACCTTTCGCGGTGATAATTAAATGAGCGTTTCCCGACATCGCAAGGAAAATGTCCATTGGGGTCCAAGGCGGGTTGGTCCGAGAATACGAGGATGGCTGAATATAAGAATGCAACCGCGGTGCAGTGAAGTGTGATGTGATATAGTGAGACTAGTGCCGGTTGCAAGATGGCCGTCATGGTAGGAGGAGCCTCCTGCTGAGCCGAGAATCGATCCCAGGACCTCGCGGACTTGCGCTCTCGGACGAGTCGTGAACAACTCGTTGGCGAAAGAGGGAGAGGTGAAGAACAAAAAGAACAAGATTCGGCGAGGGAGAGGAAGAGAGAAAGAGAAAGAGAGAGTGCGCAGGGTGGACGGGAAAAAGATCCGGCATAAGAAAGAAGGGAGGTAAGAGGGAGGCAAAGTGAGGGATCTCGGATTTACCACCCCGCGTTCAACAAGGCCTTCAATTTTTGCCTCTTAATGAGGACGTATCGTGCCGCCGCGATGTCCGTAAACGCGCGGCGAATGAAATTATCCTCGAAATAATCCGCCGAAATGAACCATTCAGCTGATTACGCTCGAGAAGTCTGCGTTCAGAGAATGCCAATAAGATTTTATCTGCGTCGATCCTCGTCGTTTGTTAAAGACGCCTTTTGCGAAAACGCGAGTATCGCAAACGCGTAAGCGTACCCAGAAATGTTGTCTAACTTATCGAACCCGACATCGGTGCTTGAAGACACCTTAAATTCATGTACATTTAATTATTTTTACTATTCTTCGAAAGCGCGTTTGCTTACTTTCAAGTCGAATTAAATGTATTCTTGCAAGCATTTCGATAATTTTATTAGTTATAGCGAATTCTCCAATAAATATAAACGAATACGAGCGAATCACACATAATATACGCCTCTATAAAAGCAGTATGATTACATATAAATTATACAAACTAAAAGAAAAAAAATATTAAAATTCCTTAACAAGACAGTCATGAAATTTCAACAAGTCAAAATGGATAACATGATTTTAATTTTATGAGTGCAATAAACTTGAACTATTGTTTCGATTAATAAACAAACGATCGTTACAATAACGAATGGAATGCCAGTAAAATACGAAAATTAATGTGGTTTCCGAATCCAATATTTCTGTATTTTACAATGTTTTATTATGTAACATTTTCACAAAAATATGTGGCAAGTCGTCGAAGTAAATTTCTTACACGATATGATAATCCCTCGATATCGGATGTGTGAGAAATACGTCACTTTGTTAACGGAGAAAAAAAGAGAGAAGAGAGATGTCAGAACATGTTTTGAATTGTTGGACGCATAAACGTTAACGATGACGTTCACACGCGCATGTCAAAATTGTAGAACGGTAAGCGGCTTCGAATCTCTGGGGATCATAAATATCATATTAATTTGTGACAAAAAACTGGGGACGCGTACCGAGGGTGTTAGCGCAGTGTGAATCCGAAACGTTTTGCAATTGTTATATAAACGAGAAACAATTTGTATTGCGTAATTATTTATCTTTCAACAAGCAATAAACTTAAAGCAGTATATTTATATTTTCATTTTCTTCCCACAACTCGGAGAGTCACGCGGCGAACTCGTGCACGGTGGACGTAACGCGCAAGGTTGGAAATCAGCCCGGGATACGCACAGAGCCAACCCCTTGGGCGATCTGCGCAAGCTCTCCGCAAACACTGCTCGAGATTGATAAGGGCCGCAACGCGGCTCAGAATCCATTATTTGGATACCTGCGGCAGCAATACAGATATATCACGTACTCCGCATTAAATCTTGTCGAGAATTAGATGGGCTCATTCATCGTTGTTTAACCCCCGTGCGTGCGGGGTACGATTTGTATTGTTTACCAACGCGCAGTGTCTCTTTGTTGCGGTCACGTTAATCGACGAAAACATGACGATTCCTTAGTGAAACGTATATATTCATGCGATTCTGTTAAATAAAATCATTAAGTAGTTTTTAATAAACTACACAGTATGTGTAATAATTCTTATGTACGAAGACTTAAAAAAGAGATAAAGTAATTGATAGCTGTGCGTATAAATTTATATTCCGCTGATAATATTTTATACTTATATACTTAAAGAGAATTTATATATACATTCTTATATATATAAATCTCTAACAATATACAACTACTCGTATTATTAGTGTTTTATTATATTCGCTGCTTATTAGCTTTCTTTTTCTTCTTTAAAAAATATTTTTGTACATTCGCGTAATTGTCATTATTCAGCAATTCGCGTAAGTATTCAGAGGAGAAAATACAAGATTATATACTTGTGCACACATCCGTTATATGCACATGTAGCGTATTTATCTCCGGGAGCTCTATTCGAGATGTCATCAAGCCGCAAAATGTACATCGTACCGATGGGACATAAAAATAATACGTCTACACGTCGCGACGCGAGCCAGAGCGGCTGGGTGGCGGGGACCACACGCGGTTAAAGAGAGGTCCTGGCCGCTGAGTGTCAAGTGGTACGCGATTAGAGCTCCCCATGATGCTCTCCGTGCTCATCTCTCACCAACCGAAACCGTCCCGGCTCAGCGGAGCGCCGGGGTTGCGCCGCGACGACAATGGGCGACGTGATGTAACAACATGTGTCGCGTTCGCAAAGGGGGCTGTTCGTCCCCCCCCCCCCTCTCCCCCGGTCATCGCACGCTGCCTCTACGTACAGCGTTAGGGATACCGTAGAATGGGATACCACTTAGCAGCCCGCCGGCGGTATACAACAAACAGATTAAGCGTCGGACAATAATGGACCCGCCGTTCGCTCGTCGGGCTCACTTGGACGCCTACGAGCAGCCACCCCGCGTTTCGAGTGACGGCTCTCTCGAAATCACGATACGACAATACAAACGGCACAGTGAAGTGTACTTGGTGTACAAATGACTGGTAAAACGCTATGCTTGTATACATTGCAATTCACCGAGAAAGGGTAAATCTTCGTAGATTTCATTGTTTTCACATTAATAAATCATTAATATATAAATGTACACCTATATATGTATACCTAATAATTTATATAAAAGTATAATAAATCTATTTAAAAGTCTCGACAACTTTCATATAACATTTGACACAATTTTGGAAACTATATACGTTGTTGACTTAATTATTTTCTGCAGTGTTATCGCGATCACCTTCTTACAGCAGGCTACAATAATGTGATTAGAGCTAATCTTATCGACGACTCACCTCTGGATTTTATTTAATCGACTACACATCGCTGACTAATACGATTTCCTATGTGCACCGAATATGTATATTTTTTATTATCTCATGACAATTCTGAGATTTTTTGTAATTTTTATCTTATTTACGATTGATTTTGTATCCAAATTCTTGTTTTTAACGCTGATGATGATTCGATAGCATGTCGAAACGCTTATAACTTATGTAGTTATGTATATGTATTTTAATTTTGCAATCATAAACAATTTTGCGCACCGACGTCCAGTGAGGCTTTTTATGCTCCTTCTTGTGATATCTCTATTTAAAAATAGTTTAGATCTCTCGAATAAAATGATACATGATCGGGAAATTTTATCTTTACTTGACAAGCGTATTTAATTTTTTTTGCTTGCATTTAAAGTTTTTCAATGGTTTCGAGAAAAGATATAGATTTGAATGAATTTATTATTGTCAGGAAGAGCAATAGTGAAAATGAATTTTACAGAACGATCGTAAGGTCGCCGCACTGACGGGAACAGACGGCTCGGCGTCTGTTTCCGTGGATGCGCTGGCTAATGCTCGAAACATTCGGGTGCTATCGCGGCGATCCCAAGCGGCGATGAGTTATGCGTGCCACGTGCGCGTTCTCATACCTTTATTACCGCAGCATCGCGCGAGATAACGCGCCGCGCCGTAACGCACAAAGGGCGGCCGCGCGGCGTGACTCGTCTCGCGTTCCGCTAAATTTGCCCACGCGCGAACGAACAAAAACGAAGAAATCTTTCGAAAGCGCCGTGCACGCGTTATATGTCTGACGTGCGTAACGAGGGAAATCGCCGACGAGCACGAAGCGGTGAACGATATACGTGACGATAATAGGCCGACGAAGCTATCCGAGCTGCTAATGATGCTCGATAGGCAGCGGAAAGAGAAGGATGTTTTTCCATTTAATTAACCCGTACCGCGGGTTTCCCAGGTATCATAAAACAGTAAATGATGCGACCTGTTTCCGGTAACAGATGCGTACAGGCCCGTCTGTCGCTGTTAAATGACTCGTCTGAACTAGTAGTCCGTGAATACTAAGGAGATTAGAGCATCAGTTGTCGTTGCTATTAATAATTCCGTGGTATACGGCCGGCGTTTAATTGTAACGCGGCTTTCGACTGTTTCAAATTCAAACATTCGAGGCGAATCGTAATAACGTGATGAAATACAAAATCGTCTTCTCATTGTATTTACCAAGAAGAGAATTCGTTTTAATTAATAAAAGTATTAATAAATTAAATTAAATAAATTGATAAAAGTACTTTTATTATTTAAACAAAGTGGAATTCTACTTTCTTTTCGATCGTCCCAGCAAATGGTTCTCGTAGTGACAGATTTACGTAAGTGATCAGGGCAATCTCTCTCTCGAGATGGAATCCCGACGTTCGGGACACGATTTATATTTTCCGTGCCATTTGACAAAGAAACCGTGAAATACGTACTCCACGGCAGCCACCGCTTCTCTACCGGCTGCCGAAGCTCAACGAACGGGTCCCGGATTACTCGAGGATTACGCGGGGATGTTCATTCGAGCTGATTTACAAGGTCGACTCGACGTGCCGTCTGCGTAGACCGGAGTTAGCCGTCCCCGAAGATGCGTCACGATCCTCGATAGAAATGTTACACAATGAAAACAGGCGAGGCCACGCGAGCTAAAGGTGCTCCTATATCTATTGTACTGCAATGCCGAGCGAAATATTTTGGCGTGCATCGATTGCCCGAATTTATTTTTCTATTGACGACGAAGACGAGCTATAGCAACGATTGTAAACTCCGCAATTCTGATCTTTCTGAGGCACTAATATGTAGTAATACATATAGTTTTGTCAATAAATTTGTTTGAAATACAATTTCGAGTTGCGTGCGGGAATGATTTTCATTTGTTTGGTTTTCTTTCACGCATTCGCGGTGGTTTCTCCGATCGAACGATAATTTCTCAAGAGTGTCATTTTCGGAGCCGAGGCCGCGAGAACGTCGGTGTACAAATAATTCAGATGATAAACGAATTAACTCGAAATGGGATGATGAAAGGCACATTTAGGGCGGCAGGAGCCCTCGGGTTCTGCCTTAATGCGAGGGCTGATGTAGCAGAACGTTTGACCCCTCGCCTCACCGACGCAAAATGGGCGAACGGAACGAGGAGAGCGAGATACGGAGAGAGAGAGAGAGCTCGCGAGTACGACACACACGTGCTCGGCTCATGAATCAAGTCGTATTAGCGAGAGAGAAGCAGGGACCGCCGGGGTACCAATCTACCACTCCAACTTGGAGTAGATTAGATTCTCGAGCTTTATTCGATTATCCACGAGCGAATTGAACGTGGCGCGACGCTCTGGCATAACCCGCCGTTTTCGCTCCGCAGCTTTGGCAATCGGAGCATAAACAACGAGCTGGACAGTGATGGACGGCGTAACGCAGTAAATGAAATAAAAAGATCGAAGGTATATTACCATTTTCCCTAATATTTAAAAACAAAGGATTGGATTCTCAACGATATGAAACAATTAAAGCATTACAAACAATTCTATAAAAAAAAACCAATATTATAACAAAAGGCATCTCGATTTTTTTATGGCAACGTTAAAAATTAACATAATTTATAATAAAATATTATGTATGTATTGATTTACGTTTATTTTCTGCTCTATTGCAAAGGGTTGAAACGATCAAGCGGGCAAAGAACGATGGTAGCCGAAGATATGGTCTCTAATCGGTAAAATCTTACGATGTATCCGCCTGGTCGATCGGTATTCTTCGACGGATATTTGTGTAGCGTGAGTTTTTACGATTGTGTTATAAAAGGGAGCCTCCAGTATCTCGTGTTTGTAAGCTATTTTTCGTCGCGCACACCTGCCCCTACGGTGTGTGTATCTGTGCGCGCGTCACCATCAAGAGTGAACCTCCATATTTGCGATGTATAATACGAACGAGAGCGGGAAGTGTTGTCGCCTTTCATGCCAGCGTCCAATATTCAAATGATCCTTTCAACAGAACGTTATCGTATCTATCCATTCGCTTATATTCGGAATTATCGTGCCACGGAATCGCGAGAACTATCCGTCCATTTACTTGAATATGTTTCAGCTACCGACATATAACATTAGAGTGGCCGACTTAAGAGTGACAAATACACTTTATAAAATCTTTTATTAAAACTCAAGTTATGATGTTGCCTAATTTAGTTAAAAAATCCCCATAAACATGTTTATAAATACTATGAATAAATAGAAATGTCAAGTTTCAAGTATTGTATTTAAATGACAATTTATATAATTGTTTCTATGTTTAGTTTACTAGACAGCACAGATGCGCGCTTCGCGTGCGCTATTTAACTTTTTAGTCGGTACGTTTTACTATACACGCTTAAATGCATACAATTACATTTTAATGTAATACAATGTAACTGTATGCCCCCTCGATACGCATAACTGTCAAAATGTGATGACAGCTGCTCAAAAAGTAAACGCAATGAAAAAACCAATCAGAATCGCGAGAGAAAACAACAACAATAAATTTTAAGCAAAATATGAATAATCAATTTTACATGCTTTTTCTTAGATAGGAGGATTAATAAATTTTCATAAAAATTTCTCAAAATTTTCCAGGAAAATCAAACTGAGTAAAAATTACAAGCATCTTAGTAATATGTAATATTTCTGTTTTAGTTTATTAAAAAATCTCGATAAAAAGTTTCAAAATTTTTTACGAAAATCAGGATATGATTAGAGATTCAAGTTTCATGATGTCTTAGTGCTGTGATGTAAATGTAATATTTCTATTTCTTAATTTATTAAAAATTCTTTGAAATTTTTAGTAAAAATTAGAGTATTACTACACAAAAATATTGCTGAAAATTGAAGTATCACTAGTAATGGAATGTCATAGAAGTTCCTTAAAATCGCACAGCTTATCGCTACATATCGATAGCGACGGTACAAACGGCAGGAGGAATAGTGGTGGAGGAACGACAGGAGGCGTGGTAACAACGCGCACGCTCCACGTGACCCTGTCGTTCTGAAGGCGGGACTTCAGCAACGAGGCACACAACTACAACGAGCAGTAGAACCAGCCGGTGGTCAGCGACGTTTTCTCTGTCGTCGCGCGCGCGGGACACCTCGAGCCGCGCTCGTTGCACGTACAACACCTGCCGCGCGATTAGGCACGCACGATTCGTCCATCCGTAACCCGTTTCGGCGACCTTTTTTTGAGACGGCAAATTTTGAGCATTGCCTCACCCCCGACCCGAAAATCGGGGCGGCATCGACGCAGCGCGATCGCCCGGGTGCCGTCGAAATCATGCACGGGAAAACGATTGACGATAACAACAACGACACCAATGACATGTCAATTCGCGAGTGAATATGCGGACGAGAGAATGAGACTCGCTCGTTCGAGGCGGGTGAGCATCCTCAGAAACGTCGGAAGCGGACAGTCTCGCCATGATGTTGGTTCCACAAGATATCATGGGTGGCCCATCGAAGATGCTGTACCAGATGAACAAATATTACGCCGAGCGAGTACAGGCTCGCATGGGCCAGGTGCAGAAGACTATACGGGAGGTGTGCAAGGTCGTGCAGGACGTGCTCAAGGAGGTCGAGGTGCAGGAACCGCGCTTCATCTCCTCGTTGACCGAGTGCAACGGCCGCTACGAGGGCCTCGAGGTGATATCTCCGGGTGAATTCGAGGTGGTCCTCTACCTGAACCAGATGGGGGTTTTCAACTTCGTCGACGACGGCACCCTGCCGGGCTGCGCCGTGCTGAAGCTCAGCGACGGGCGCAAGAGATCCATGTCCCTCTGGGTGGAATTTATCACCGCGTCCGGTTACCTGTCGGCCAGGAAGATACGCTCGAGATTTCAGACTCTGGTGGCGCAGGCCTGTGACAAGTGTAACTACAGGGACTCGGTGAAGATGATCGCCGACACGACCGAGGTAAAGCTGCGGATACGGGAGCGTTACGTCGTGCAGATCACGCCGGCGTTCAAGTGCTCCGGCGTGTGGCCGCGATCCGCCGCACACTGGCCGATACCGCACATCCCCTGGCCGCATCCTAATCTGGTGGCGGAGGTCAAGACGGAGGGTTTCGACCTACTGTCGAAGGAGAGCGTCGCGCTCCAGGGCAAGCAGTCGGCGATGGAGGGTGACGCCTGGGTATTGTCGTTCACGGAAGCGGAAACCAGGCTGCTGCAGGGCGGCTGTCGCCGCAAGTGTCTCAGCATACTCAAGACTCTGAGGGACCGGCATCTCGATCTACCCGGGAATCCGGTCACTAGCTATCACATGAAGACCCTGCTGCTGCACGAGTGCGAGAAGCATCCCCTCGAGACCGAATGGGACGAGGGATGCCTGGCCGATCGTATTAACGGCATCTTCCTGCAGCTGATATCCTGCCTGCAGTGTCGGCGATGTCCGCACTACTTCCTGCCGAATCTCGATCTCTTCAAGGGAAAGTCACCTAGCGGTCTGGAAAATGCCGCGAAGCAAGTTTGGAGACTTACAAGGGAGTTGCTCACGAACAGCCGCGCGTTAGAAAAGCTTTAGCGTTCTCCTCCTCCGAAAGCACGAGAAAACGTGCGATGATGTGAGAGAGAGAGAGAGAGAGAGAGAGAGAGAGAGAGAGAGAGAGAGAGAGAGAGAGAGAGAGAGAGAGAGAGAGAGAGAGAGAGAGAGAGAGAGAGAGAGAGAGAGAGAGAGACACACAGAAACGATGACACGTGTAACACAATTTTGAGAACGTTTCTACCGCACGGTACTTACGTGCTTCTCCGATACTACACGCCAACAGTATTGTAGTTACTGTTATTACTTAATACACGCTTGTATCAAGGGCTTGGTGCAAATTTTTACAAATGATTCTCGATACGTAAGCTATTTTAAACCGTACTTGTTTTCCTTTAATAACAATCGCGATTCAACGAAGCAATAATGTTCCTCGAGTAGATAATTCAAGCTTTTAATTTTTTCTAAGCAGAGTCGCATGAAAATCAAATGGCCATATAATTAAAAATCTAGCCATAATTCTTTTTTCGTCTGTGCAGCTATTGTATTTTACTTGTTTTAAAATTGATTACATTATTTATATGTACAAGCAAAAATTTCGCGCATAAAATTAAATAAAAGAGTACTTTTGTGAATTTCACGAACAAAACAAAATTTATTTCTTGATCGTTTAGCAAACTATACGTAATTAATTTTCAAAGTCGAATGATAGCCACACAAGTAGATGGTAATAAAATTTGCACAAATTATAGAAATTTAAAAAAAAGAAAAAAAGCGAAAAGTATAGATCAACTAAATTACTTAAATATGCTGCAAAATATACATATAATTTAATGATTTTGTTTCATATCATATTTCAATCATTCATGACTTTTTCTATAATCAATATATTAATGTTTTACTTCAAATTATGTAAATTGCTGTAAAATAAGCAATATTACGGCAAATAAATTTATAATTCATGCGACTAAGTTAAATACTAAGTACGGCTCTTCTCAATAGTTGATGTAAAACATTATGTTTGCAATGTATATGCTGTGCAATTCTGTTGAAGTAGAAATTTCGTATAATTGTTTAGTAATAATAATTACTCCATTTCAATTATAAAACAACGAAATATCAGAATGATAATAGCAATAAGGTAAAAAAGATGAAAAAGTAAAATCCGCAGACATAATGTTCTCTAAAAGTTTAATAATATTCCGTACGAAACTGTATTAACGAACGAAGATTGACACTTCAGACATCTTAATAAAACAAGATCATTTTCGCATTATTTAGGAAACATATGAACATATAAAATATATAATACGTTCCGATTATTATTACAATTATCTCTTCCAAGCAGAATAATGTGATTTTTGTTATTCTTATTGACCTGATATTTATAATCGGTTAGCAGTAAGCTTCCGACGGTAGTTTCACTACTTATTGTTATATGTATATATGCGGTATACATACTTCTTTTTTATTATTTAAATGATATTTATTTTATAATCAGATCATTATATATATTTGAAACATAAAATTGTACATAATAAATAAAAACATTCATTTCATCTTCATCAATTAAACAATTATTTACTTTGGAAATAAATTATCCCACCTTTTATCTTCGCGATTCTGAGTTTTTGTTCATCACATTTTAATATTATTCAATAAATTATATGTATCTTTAAAAATGTAAAAACGTATACATTTTTAAGTATATCAATAACAACTAATTATATCCCGTATTAATAATTAAAATAATTTCGACATAAAAAATACTGTTTTAATATAATCGGCATGTAAAATACAATGTTTTTGTTTTAGTAAACATTGCCTCGACTTGGCGAATTTATTTTTATGAGACTTGCTAAACGTGATTTGGTTCGTAAATTTCACGTTTCGTAACACGCAACGTTAAAATATGATCGTATCTTCGTCAATTAACTTTCAAGTAGTTTCTCTCTTACAAGAATATATTTTCCTTAATGTGTTGTATATCCAATTGTGATACGCGTGTACTGTACAATTATTATGCCGAATACCTGTACTTAACGTGTTTGTTATAGAAGCCTTGAACGACTCGCTGGCAGCCGAGACGAAGACTATCATCTTCATTATACGCCTACCTAGAATATCACGTTCTTATCTTAATTTTATCCTTAACGTTCCGCATCTCCCTTTCCCGGTGATGACATTCGTTAACCGGTGCCATTCACTTTTCTTGCTTTACCACGCGTTCGACCATTTCCAAATGCGTATGATAATTGTTATTGCACTCTAACACGAACAGTAAAGATCTCTCTATTGACTGTGGAATCTGAAATTACATTCTCCACCGCAAGAAACTGCAGCGCTTTTATCATTATAAGATATATTAAGATATACTAACATCTTTTTATCCTTTCTAGTTTTCTTCATTGAAGCTGTACTCTTCTTTATTTTATATCACGTGAAGCGATACGGAAATAACAATTGGATAACGCGATTGTTTCATCAATGCTAGCAATGATATGTTATTTACTGCAATTGTTATTGTTATGAATGTTACAATTATCTTCATTTTTAAGAAGTAAAAGTATTAATTATATTTGACACTTTGTGTGTGTCTTAATTAAAGACACTTAAATATTTAATTTATCTTCCAAAAAAGGACATTTCTCTAATCCATAAGTCGATAATTCAATAAGTCGATTATAATAGTCGAGAATAATTATTCCCAGCAAACACAGATTATAACTGCAATGTTGCAGCAGCATTGTAACATTTCAGCTATATTGCAGAAATATTACAATGTTGCTGCAATATTGTAGTTATAATTTATGTTTGCTGGGTTACATTCCATCGACTTCTAATGTTAATTTTATAAAAATAAAATATCATCGACATGAAAGACTCCGAGGTAACTCTATCTGGCAGCGCAGACACGATTGTGGTCCACCATGTCGAAAATTTCGGAATAACTAAAGGGGCTGCAGAGGAGGTACCGTGCCCTCGTGGATGGGAAATAAACTAAGCAGTTCCTGCATAATTCATGGAGAGGAAGAAGGGCTACCACGAGGGTTGCCTCGCGTTACCTTCGTTCCCCTATCGTGCACGCTACCACATGAAACTCCACCGGAGTATCTGTACCGGATCGATCTTGTCGGTCTGGTGCAGTTAACCACGCCCACGCAGCGTGGCAGACCTCCGATTGGCTAAAAAATCTTGCCAGTGGGCGTAATCTGCCAAAGGAGGCGTGCCAGCAAAGCTGTGCGTTTGTGCTTGCCGCGGAGGATGGGTGACGCGGAGGAGGTAGACATCAGCGCAGTCGGCAATCTGCTCCTGCACGGAGACGCTCGTGATACCTCTTCCTCTCGCTTCGTTGGTGTCTCCGAGGCGCGGCGCGATTCCTGGCGAGCACCAGGTGATAAACGAGATCTAACGAGATCAAACGCCGGTTTTCTCACGAGCGACGGAATCTCGCGTCTTCCCACAATGCGGTAGAACGCGCGAAGTGACTCGATGACAACGCGAGGCAGGGGAGAAGGCCTGGATGAGAAGATATAAGAATATAATGATCTGGAGAAGCTGAAGACAGTATAATAACCATCCGTGTGGACTACGGGCGGTGCACGATGCTGGTACCGCCTGATATGATTTCGTCCCACTCCAGGATGGTCTATCAGTTCAACAAGTACTTCGGCGAACGGGTGATGACCAGGAAGAGTCAGGTGGCAAAGACCATTCAGGAGGTGTGCCGAGTTGTGCAGGATGTGCTGAAGGAGGTGGAGGTGCAAGAGCCGAGATTCATCTCGTCCCTGACGGATTACAACGGCCGGTTCGACGGCCTCGACGTCATCTCGCCGACGGAGTTCGAGATCATCATCTATCTAAATCAGATGGGCGTGTTGAACTTCGTGGATGACGGCACCCTGCCGGGCTGCGCCGTGCTGAAGCTCAGCGACGGGCGCAAGAGATCCATGTCCCTCTGGGTGGAATTCATCACCGCGTCCGGCTATCTGTCAGCCAGGAAGATACGCTCAAGGTTCCAAACGTTGGTGGCGCAGGCCTGCGACAAGTGCACGTATCGGGATTCGGTGAAGATGATCGCCGACACGACCGAGGTGAAGCTGCGGATACGCGAGCGATACGTCGTGCAGATCACGCCGGCTTTCAAGTGCGCCGGACTCTGGCCCAGGTCGGCCTCCCATTGGCCGATCGCGCATATACCCTGGCCGCACCCGAACATCGTCGCCGAGGTGAAGGCGGAGGGTTTCGACATGCTCTCGAAGGAATGCATAGGCTTACAGGGCAAGCAGTCCGCCATGGAGGGCGACGCCTGGGCGTTGTCGTTTATCGACGCGGAGAATCGATTGTTGCAAGGCGCAAGTAGGAAGCGCTGTCTTAGTATACTGAAAACCCTCAGAGATCGGCATCTCGATTTACCGGGAAATCCGGTCACCAGCTATCACATGAAGACTCTACTGCTCTACGAGTGCGAGAAACACCCGCATGAAGCGGAATGGGACGAGGCTTGCCTGGCCGAGCGAATAAACGGCATCTTTCTGCAGCTAATCTCCTGCCTGCAGTGCCGCAGATGCCCGCATTACTTCCTACCGAATCTCGATCTCTTCAAGGGGAAATCGCCGAGCGGCCTGGAGAACGCCGCGAAACAGGTGTGGAGACTCACCAGGGAGTTGCTGACGAACAGTCGCGCGCTCGAGAAGCTGTAGTGACCCCGACGCTGCTGTGATGCTGATCGTCGTACGATTCGTGAACTGATCTCTCGCAAATCTTGTCACACGTTCCTGTAAACTGCAGCGTCGACGACTTCGACGCGCGAGTAAGATACGTCTAATCATACAATGGCCGTGCAAGAATTACTACGTGAGAATCACCGTGGAGACCAGAGACTCTCTCTTTCTCTCTCTCTTTCTCTCAGGCTCGCGAAAGAAGAGACGTTTCTCCTGATTGTCGTCATCCAACGCACTGCCGAGTCATCGGGAAGTCCGATCTGCATTTTCCCGGATTGCGCAGATCTGGAGGATCACACATGTTTTCGATGATGTTCCCCGAAGATGTTTAGTGTGTGCCGATAGCAATCCTCGCGAGATTAATTACGCGCGCCTATATGTGATGTTTGGTGAACACGTGATCGACTCGCAAGACGATCGAATTAGTGCCATAAATAATCTCTCCTCGACGTTAGAGACAGATTTCGTTTCTACTCTGTCGGCGCGCGAAATATAAAGTAAATATATTATAGCCGCAGAGAGTTATCAAAATTCAGTTCGTTGCAAACGGCGGTTTGCAACACGCTGTGACGACGAGCGTGAAAAACAACCTTTAACCCTGTGGTACAGGAATCTTATTATCGAGCGAAAAAAACGACTATTCTCCGCGTTTAACTCTTTAAGATCTTCAAATCTGCGTCCGATGGCTATTTAAAGGTACAGTTTTCGAAAGTAACAACAACTATTTCTTACGATGTTCCTTCATAACTTTCGAATATAATACTTCTTACTTCGGAGCTCGTAATCTTCGCGAATCTTTGAGCCTAAGACCGCAAGCACTGCCATATCGACACTTAAAGAGTTGACGCGACTCGATCAGAGTTTTAATTAACATTGAATAATATGTTTTCTCTCAACAAGCTGACTGATATGTTCGTTCTGTAGTTTTTGTGATCGCGACCACGAGTTAAAGGGTTCTCTCTTCGCCGCCAATGTAAATAAAACTTGAAAGATATTTATTGAACTGTAACGAAAATGTGAAATATAATGCTATTTATATGGAAGCCTGGTCGCGTCGGTTGATGACACATCACGCACACCCACTTTCCTTACCCCCACAAAATGTGCCCGCCCGAAAAATCGGCCCGTAAATATCGCCCGTACCCCGGTTGATAGTCGCCGCGCGACGATCGTTAAACGCTTCGCTCGCGATGGACGGAGCGCGACGGAGCGCGAGAGGGGCCAGTTAGGCCTCGTAAATTTTACAGTCGCTCTCGCACTTTTTTTGTCGTTTGCCGTCGCCAATGGGGCACCTCGAGGTGAGGAGGAGACACTTGGAGAACGCCATGCACGCGCACGACTGTTCGCGTCACGACCGACGCCTAGCGACGGCAAGCTAACGCGATCCGCCCGGCGCGATCGCGTCGCCGGGGAACAGAATGGAATATTCCGCGTTTCCGCATATTTTTATCGCGTGCGGTCCGGGATAACTTGTTTATCGCACTTTTCCTAAAGGCCATCCGACGCGCCAAATGACTCACGATACATGCACCAAATACAAATAGGCTGGCTATTACGAAAAATTACTTATAGGTTTTATGACATGAGCGCGTAAATTCCTCCTGGTTATCTCCTCGCCGATTTCGCTTCCCTTCACTTCCCTTCCCTCTGCGAGTCTATAATTATTATCGTCATATGTTACTCCTTTTTTGTTTCTCAACTTAACTGCCTTCCCTTTTGATAAGCTAATTGGGCCTTATCTCAATGTTTTACCGCGAACTTATAGACGCAACGGCCTACGTAATAACTTGCGGCGAACCGCGCGCGCGGACGGGTTTTAAACAGCTGCTCCTAACACGAAGAGGAGCACCGTCCTTGTATAGGAAATGCAAGGAAAAGAAACGCATTAGGTTGATAACCAAATGGCCTCTTGAGAATTATATTACGCGTCGTTTAAGTGTTATAGGCACCACGGATAAAGTCTTACGAATAAGATATTATTTCATAAAATATTATCACCTGGCTACTACAGAACTGATTTTGCATGTTCGGTTGTTACATTAAACTTTTACTGACTTACAATTAACAGCTGCAGATTGTTTATATAATTAACAACAAATATATCATTATACTGTAGATATAAAAAAAGAAGAGTATGTACCTTCTTTCTGAAAGATATAGCGCGGTAATTAAAAAAAATCTACAGTAGAACTCCGTTTATTCGAACGTGTCGAAGGATTGACAGTTCGGATAACCAGATAGTTCGAATAATAAAGGCTCACTTATTAGTTTCGATGATAGGAACTGACGTACTTATTAGTTTCAATAATAGGAACTGACATTCAGAAAACTGAAGTCGAACTTTTACTATGCAAATGATTCGGATAATAAGGCTTATGAGTTTGTAAATTTGGAACTGACCACAAACTTGTTTGTGTATGACATTCATTTTTACCAATGTAGATTAACTTAATGTCGGTTTAACTTATTTTTATCTTTTCTAATTCTAAGAATTAGAAAATATAATTATTTACTTCATCATTTTATAATTCTTAGAAATCTCCCGTTCTTAGAATTAGAAAAAGATAAAGTAAATTAAATCGAGATTAAAGTTAATCTACAGAAAAACGGACACGAATGAATAAACGGAGTTCTATACTATAATTAATTTTCATGCAGCACGAAAGATTTCCATACATTCGCGATTTTCTTCAAGTAAAACGTAATATTGTAAATTAAATAGTGATATTGGCAATCTTGGCAGAAATATACATAAACTCCGAAGATCGCTAGTTAAATGCGCGGCGATGGTTAAAACGTAAGGCAGTCATGCGAAACGAGGCTCGTGTACGATTGTTTTCAATTAATGAACTTTACAGGCGTATTTCAAGCCAGCCGAGCACATGTTTCAAGAGACACTTTACTCCAAGTGCCTAAAGCCTAAACGGAAGTAACAAATGATTTCGCACGCGTAATAGATTTGAGACCTGATGCGCGTCAGTTGTAAAGACTCATCCCAGCTGGCGCAAACGGCTGTGCAAACTGGCATCCATTCAAACAACAATTACTAATAACCGTGTTTGTCGTATGTGCATCAGAGAAACATCAAATATGCCTGCCTTTGCGCGCGATCTTTGAGGATAGTCTCCGTAAGTAACGGGCGAAATTTTCCGCTTTACACGAATAAAGTTTTCAACGTCGACGCTGATCTTGCGTTCCGGCGGGGACAATGAATTATCCGAATTAATTCGTAATATTGGCATAAACTAGCGATTATGTATGTGAGGCAGTCACTAAAAAAATAAACTATTATTTACAAACGGCAATATGTGCATATAGAGAATATAAAAAAAATTATATTTAACGCTATTTATACAGAAAAAGACATAAATGAGAATGTCATTAATGTCGAGACCTTGATCTAGTATGTATTTCCTTTTAGTTTTTAACGAGCGCAAGAGTGATCAACTATACCAGTGGTAATTAAATCCGCAATTAAACCAGTAAAGCGAGTAAAGCCAGTTACTCGCGTGAATTACTTGGAATTATCTTTCAAAAACATGGAAACACATTAAGAGAATATATTGATTTGTTCGATAGTATGTAAGCAAGTGAAATTTACATTGATAGCAGTTTCATTAAATATGTAGCGTGTTCCAAAAAAAAAAAATATATATATATATATTCGTACATCCCGTAATAGATTTTCCACTCGCATGGAAAAAAGTCAATTTCTTTTGCCAGTTATACATAGATAACGATTTTATTTGATATTCTTAGTGCAATATTAACTCCTCTCAAACCCGTCGAATCGCATCGATGAGAGCACGGAGTAGAATCGAAAATTTCCCCTGTTATTAGATTTTATTTTACGTTCCGCAGCAACGAATAATAAAACGCTTCGTACGTGTATATACACTTCTTCGCACAACACGCAATGTTTTTAAATTTCAGATACCACGTGCCGGTTGCACATCGTAACTTCGCGAGGCGGCTGCAATTCGACCTGAATGCGCAACAACTTGTACGAACAAATTTACATGCTTATCGGTTTATCACCGTAACTTTCAAGGCGGCTGACAGGCGACCGCTTCGGTAAACCGTAGGAACAACAAAAAAAAGCCATGACTGATTAGAAGCAGAGCAATTACAATAAATTATTATTCATAATGACAAATTTAATCGTTAGGCTCGCCGGCGACGCAAGAATAAAATATGATCGTTCAATTAAATTATACGTAAATCTATTAATAACACTGTTCTCAACATATCGATGCATTTATCATTTCAACTCAATTACTGCCAATAACGACGGTGTGTCGCCACAGAGTTTATCTTCACTTAAGATCGTTAATGCCTATCATAAGACGGATAATTCGTAATCAATGAGGACTTATCCTTCCCATTGATGGAATTCAACTTGAAAGTAAGAAATTGTGTCTCTAAAGCAAAACTAAATTTTATCTCACATTGAGGAAGATAACATTTTGCATTTTTTCCCATCATTTGCGAAATGGATTATCGTTTTACGTATGCAGCGTGCGGAAAAGGTCTGCAAGAAGAGCGGAGAAGCAACGAGAGGAACGAGAGGAAAGAGATCTGGTTGCAGCATGCAAATGACTTCGGTCGTTCTTTTCCTTTTCCCTTACGGTGTGTTCTGCAAGGGGGGTCCGCGCGAGGACGCTTTATCATTGCATCGGTCGCCCCCGTCCGGTCCCTCGAATTCGGCGCGGACCGCGCGAGGCTGCAAGCGCGAGACAAAGGCAAGGAATCCGCGAAAGCGAACATTGTAATTGGCGGAGGGTCAGGAAGAGGATGGCGACGGACAGGGACAGAGGGAGGAACACACACAGAGAGAAAGAGAGAGAGGATCGCTTCGAAGTCGGAGTCGGAGAAGCGTAGGCCGTGCAGATCCGTGATCCTCACTCCGCACGCCCGCGCTCGCGCGAGCATGCTTGGTACCGAGCGAGAGCGAGCGGCCGGCACCGATCCGGCTCTCCTCCTCTTCTTCGGGGTGATCTCTCGGTTGGTCTCCTCGAGACCGGCACGGACCTCTCCCGCTATAAAACGTTCAGATAAAGCCGCGATGTTTATATGCAGGGATCGCGGGCGAGGGGAAGAGAAAGAGAGAGAGAGAGAGAGGAGCGCCGTGTAGAAGGAGAGATATACCTGCTGGCCGCGCGCGCCGACAAAATAATAAGACAAAAGACGCCGGGGGGTGGACGATGGTGAAGAGGGGAGGGGGGAGGAAGCGGACTGCGCGATCAGGTAGGAGCAAGAGAAGAAAGAGCGAGGAGGAAACGAACGCTGTGTGGAGAGATAGGACCCGTGCGACCGGGGAGGATGGGGAAAGAGAGCTGTATTGCAGACGCAATGGATGCTGCGGTGCGCACGAAAGAGCAGGGGGAGGGGAAGGGGAAGGGATGCAGGGGCGACCAGAAAAGGAGGAAACCGGACAGGAATGCACGGACGAATGCGTCGTGTTACGGGCTACCCGACCGCGACGCTTATCTCGCGAGAGAGTGAGTGAGCTCTCATTAGAATCTCCTCTCCCGCCTAGCTCGACCGGCTGGGAAGAACTCGTGGACGACGGTCCTTGTCGCGCGAAGAGACTGCACCGAGAACTGGAACGGGATTGTACGTTACACATCCGTAATTTGCGTTTATCGCGAATGGTCGAACGCCACGCGATCAACGTTTGTCTACCGATTTCCATAGAGAACGCTAACGAGCGCGGAGTACCTTTTTATTTCTTCGTGGTTACATAAAACACACAAGACTTTCTAAGATCGGCCTCTTCGAGAAATAAACGTATGCAGCGGAAATGGATAGAATCCATCGTTATTTTCTCCTTATATTTTCGGTCCAAGAGAAACTTGTGTTTTTATGTTGAAGATGACAACTAAATAATATCAAATTTTCGTAGAATAGAATTTATTCAGAATAATCTGTCAATTGCACGTCTGTGAATTTTAGACCACTGATCCAGTTACATCCTGTATGCGAATCTTTCGGTTTCTTTCAGCGACGCCGAAATTTTTAATTCACGAGAGGCGGATACGCCCGTGTACATTTTACATCTCAGCCTTCAAAGCCCGAGCGCAGCTTATATGTCAGGTCGAATTTTGGGCAACTCATCATACTCTCGCTGTGTCTCAATTTTATTAGGCCCTCG